CCCCCCCCCCCCCCCCCCCCAACACTTCAACACCCATGAGGATCCTTCTGGCGGATCCGAAAAACGAATCCTGCCACCTCGCCACGGTCATCGCCATCCTCTTCGCAAGCAGCGTGCTGGGCCTGAAGCAGTATGGGGTGAGGACCAGCGTCAGCGCACCACTCCTCATCATCCTGTTCCTTAGGCCTCCAAGGGTGTGTACAGGGGTTAGTTTTTTAAGGGGTAGTGGGAGTCAGTCAGGGTGTATGTCGCTTGTTTGGTGATTGTGTGATTGTTGATCTGCTTCCGTTGAAATATGGGTGAGTGTAGAACTTCGGGAATCACAGAAAGTAAGGCGTTATGCGAGCTTCTGCTGTCGATCCCCATGAGGACTGCAGCCTCCACATTTCTTCCACCCTTAACCCTCCCTCAACCCCTCAACCCCTCAACCCCTCAACCCCTCAACCCCTCAACCCCTCAACCCCTCAACCCCTCAACCCCTCAACCCCTCCACCCCTCAACCCCTCAACCCCTCAACCCCTCAACCCCTCAACCCCTCAACCCCTCAACCCCTCAACCCCTCAACCCCTCAACCCCTCAACCCTAACCCCCCCCCCCCCCCCAACCGAGGCTACTGGCCACCTTCTACACCTGGGCTGGCGTTGCTGGCCACTCCCTCCCAGACCTGGCCGAGCAGGCCCCCAAAAGCCCCGAAGCCCTGTGACCCTTGAGGGTTTAGGGTTTGGGGTTTAGGGTTTGGGGTTTAGGGTTTGGGGTTTGGGGTTTAGGGTTTGGGGTTTGGGGTTTAGGGTTTAGGGTTTGGGGTTTGGGGTTTAGGGTTTAAAAAAGGGGTTTAGGGTTTAGGGTTTCGGGTTATAGCCCTAAACCCTAGAAGCCCTAAACCTTGGGATGTTCCCCCTTACACTAACAGTCCTTACTAGGGAGAATAGTACCCCCCCCCCCCCCCCTATACTCTCTATAGTATGAGGGGGAACATCCCAACCTAAACCCCTAAACTCCCCGAGCTAACCCCCCACATGCCAAGGAACTCCCGAAGAACTTCCAAAGAGCTCCCTAGAAACTCCCCCAACCTCCCTCAGAAAGCCCTGAAAAGCATCCCCCAAGCCCTAAACCCTAAACCCTAAACCCCAAACCCCAAACCCCAAACCCCAAACCCCAAACCCCAAACCCCAAACCCCAAAACCCCAAACCCCCCCCTAACCCCCCCCCCTAACCCCCCCCAAACAAAATCGCACCCAAGAGCTCCTCCCATCAACCCAGGGCTGGCTCTCGCCTTCCAGCGCCAACTCCCAGTCGCCCATCGGCATCTTCTTCACAGACTGGCCTGGGACCCAAGAATGAGCCTAAACCCTATAAACCCTATAAACCCTATAAACCCTATAAACACTATAAACCCTATAAACCCTATAAACCCTAGAACGTAAACCCGGGCTTGGGCCGGGGGGGGTTAGGGTTCAGGCGAGGTGGGGCTTTGAGAAGCCAACATGGGTAGGGCGTTCCGGAAGACAACCCTACGCCCGGCTCAACAGAGCCTCCTCCATCTTTCTCAGCCTTTGCACCCAACTGGGTGCGCGGTTGACCTTCAGGTTTGAAGTTGACTACATGGCCACGCTTCCTGGCTTCGAGTCTTTGCTGCTGCTTCTTGGTGGCTAAGTTTTCCCATGTTTTTTTTTTTTTTTTGTCGGGGGTTCCGGGGTTCCCTATTATAAGAGCTATAAGAGTAGCCCTAAACCCTAAACCCTAAACCCTAAACCCTAAACCCTAAACCCTAAACCCTAAACCCTAAACCCTAAACCCTAAACCCTAAACCAAAACCCCAAAAAGGGTACCCCTGAAACGTAATTCCTGACCCAGCCGAAGGCTTCTGGTAGCCACGATCATGCGTGCTCTAACAGTGATTGCCATCGAGTCTGCTCTGGCAGACGAGCCCTACAGCGTGGACGCAGACTCTTAGAGAGCATGGGGAGTGGAGTTTAGGGCTTAGGGTTTAGGGTGTAGGGTTTCGGATTTAGGGTTTTGGGTTTAGGGTTTGTGGCATAAAGACCAACTCTGATGGCCTCAAAACTCTAAGGCAACCCTCAATCCCGCGCTCTCTCTCTCCCTCTCTCTCTGTCTCTCTCTCGCGCTCTCTCTCTCCCTCTTTTTCTCTCTCTCCCCTAAACCCAAACCCCAAAGCCTTGGCAAGCCAGTGCCATGCTTTGCGTTGGAAGGAGCGCGCTGCAGATTTTCCCTAGCTTCCTGCCAGATGTAGGTGGTTCTCTACATGAAGGTCCTTTTTTGGGGTCCTATAGACCCCCCCCTAAACCCTAAACCCTAAACCCAAAAGGCAACTACCCAAAGCGCAGGAAATGTCCTGGCTCGGCCTCGCCACGGGCATCGGGGGCGTGCTCGGCGGGGTTCCCATGAACGCGACCTCGGCCATGACGGACCTGAACAAGGAGGGCGTGAAGCTCGGACCTAGAGTCGGCGCCTGTTTTTAGGGTTGAGGGTTTAGGGTTTGGCGTTTAGGGTTTAGGGTTTATAGGGGATTTTTTTGAAGAAGTTAATTATAAAGAAACCCCTCCTTGTAAGAAGAAAATGGGTTTAGGGTTTAGGGGTTCGGGCTCCCTTGTATATGAAACACCTACTTGTAAGAAGCATAATTAGAAGGGTGCCTCTCTTTGTCTTCTTCCTGGGCTACCCTGGAGCCTAGGAAGGGGGACAGCCTAACTGCGCGTTTGACCGCGATCATCATCACGGCACTCCACCTGCTCATGTGGGGCTCAGGCTTTCCCCTCGTGGACTACCTCCCCCGATTCCTGCTGGGGGGGCTTCTGATGCAGATGGGGGGTGGCATGCTGCTGGACTGGGCCGTTTTGGTACTCCAGCGGCTGCAGTGGACGGGTGCCGTTGTGGTTTGGGCCATGGTGGGCATCAGCGTCTTCACTGACCCTGGGCAAGCCCTTGGGATATTTGCTTCCCTTTAGCTATTGGGATTTATTGGGTTCCGGAGGACAGTACTTAGGAACCCTAACCCCTAAACCCCAAACCCCAAACCCTAAACCCTAAACCCTGAACCCTGAACCCTGAACCCTGAACCCTAAACCCTAAACCCTAACCCCTAAACCCAAGGACATGACCCATGGCATTGTGGTTGGGCTTGTGCTGGCCCTTGGCTTTGTCAGCGTCCGCTTCACGAAGTTGGAGGTGCTGAAGTATCATGTCACGGGCATCCACTTCAGATCTGGGACATTGTGCCTTAGTGATACTTGGAAATATTTTTATGTTTTGCGCATTTCAATTCCTAAGAAACAGCTAAAATTATAGATTTCTGCTAGGGTTCCAAGTTCAGTATAGGTACTCCGATGCACAGCGAAGTATTCTGAAGAAGTACGGGGATCAGACCCAGGTGGTCGGGCTCACAGGTTTTGTTTTCGAGGGCGTGGCCATCGCCTTCGCGACGTATCTCAAAGAAGTTGTGCACAGCACGAGGGAGCTCAAGACCTTGGTGATTGACTGCGCGGCCTGCCAGGGCATGAACGACTCCGCCTGCTCACACTTCCTGAAAGTCGCGCAGATGTGCGCGTCGAAAGATGTTAGCCTGGTGTTCTGCAGCCTGAGCCCCTACGATGAGATGCTGCTGACGAGCTGGAATCTCGAACCCTATGGTTGCCAGATCATGCCCTCCGTGTCGGAGGCCTTGGACAATGCCGAGCAAGAACCCAGGTTGGCCCCTGGAGACGTTTTTCGTATGTGCCCTCTATTGGGTCATGGCTGGTTGTCAAAATTATGATCCCTTTTTGGGATTCCCTACATATTCGGTGCCGTATGATAGTAAGGAGCCAAAGAGGGACCGCAATCTTGACAGCCACCCTTTTTGGGTTTAAAGAGGATGGCATTATAGTGGTGTCTCGGAATTATCTTTCGGAGGGTGTTTAAGGGCCGTCCGAGGAAACTCTGCGGCACTGGTTGCAGCCAGTGACGCCCACTCTTCGAAGCAGCGGGCATGAGCCCAAAGTCACCGCATTGGAGAAATGGCTGGGCAAAGGGGTGGCCAAGGAGCTGCTCGGGATTGGAGAATTCTACGTCTTCGACACCGGCGAGGTGATAAGTGGTCAGGATGAGATTGTCGATGCCATTATGATTGCTGTGCCAGGGTTCTCCGACGTGCAGATAGAGGTCCAGACAGGGACCCAGAACAAACCCGCGCGGCTTCTGCGGACGTCCCACGGAGCAGTTTGTCCTGCAGAGGCCCTCATCGGCAGCCACTGCCGCGGTCGATGGGTAGCCCTCGACGAGTCGGTGGTTTTCATGATCAGACCCGTGCAGGCTCTGAAGAGCACTTCGAAGCGGCACGCGTTCGCCACACTGTCTTCCATTGCGCTGCACCAGCAGATGATGCAGACGGACCAGCTCTCGGCCATGTACACCCTCAGCAAGGGGGGCGGCTGGCGAGGCGTCACCTTCGACGCCAGCACCAACAACCGGCCCTGCAAGGCCCTCGAGGGATTCGGCCCGCGCCTTCGGAGCAGCCACGCCAGGCGCAAGGAGTTCGCGCGGGTGGGCAGCCGGAACATGACGGGCTCGGTGGACGTGGGGAAGCTGAGCTCCCCGAAGACGCAGAGGCCGAGGGCACCAACCAACGCCACCAGCGTGGACGAGGAGATCCCGGTGGCTTGGGGATTTTTAAATCATTTCTAATTTTGGGGCACTTTAATCATTTAATTCCTATAAGCTCTTAAAAAAATTTAATTCCTAAGCACTTTAACGTTCTCATTCCTAAGAAACAGCTACAAAACACACATAGTTTCTGCCACAGGGTTCTTAAGTTCCCCAGAGGTGGCTGCGGTCTTGGACTTCCAGCGCTTCGTGTCCTCCTCCGGGCGCCCGAGCCTGGGCTCCGTGGATGCCGACGAGGCCATTTAGACCTTAAACCCTAAACCCTAAACCCTAACTAAACCCTAAACCCTTCGTGGATGCCGACGAGGCCATCGAGACGAGCCTCTCCGACAACGTGGTCTTCAACCGCTACTCCGTGGGCTCCAACTTGCACCAGCTGACACTTAGTGGCTGAGTGAGAACCACTTTGCACCCTAAACCTTATAAACCCTAAACCCTAAATCCTATAAACCCTAAACCCTAAACCCTAAGCTTTTTGGGGATACGAGTATCCCCTGTTTTGAACTTGCAAGTGTACACCTTTTGCTTTTTTTTTTTTGGTTGGGGGGGGGGGCCTTGATAAACGCAGTAGCCAAGGAAGGGCATCACCGCCTTGGCGGAGCTCGAGTTTGAGGAGGAGGAGCCGGACCAGCCCTGAGGAGGAGGAAAAAGATCCCTAAACCCTAAACCCTGAACCCTGAACCCTAAACCCTAAAGCAGGGTTTTCCGACATGGGTGTAGAGTTCTCGAAATACTTCGGGTCCCCCCCGCCCCCTTTTTCTTGGGGGGGGGGGGGGGTCCTTTTTAGAGGATGCCGTACTATAGGGGGCCTGCAAAGGGGCCCGAATTTAGAGAACTACCCACCTGTGACCTCAGTTTGCCTCTTCACGTCCCTCCTCGCCGGCCTGCCCGGCGCAAACCCTCTCAACCCTAAACCCTAAACCCTAAACCCTCAACCCTAAACCTAAACCCTAAACCCTAAACCCTTTTAAACCCTAAACCCCTACGAGGTGCTCTGGGATCCTGATCCGGCGAAGGTTTCTTTATGATAAGAAGGGGTTTAGCCGAGTACCCCGATAGAGATGAGCCCCTTGCAGGCTCCCATAATCTACTCCGAATATGGCCCTTAGATTCCCTTAGGAATCTTGCAAAGTCCCCAACCCAAGGGTGCAACCTTAGGGTTTAGGGTTTAGGGTTTAGGGTTTAGGGTTTGTCCCAATACCATGAGCCCGCTGTAGCCCTCCGCAGTTGTCAGTCGTCACACTGTCACACCGACGCCTTCTCCTGCCATTGCTATCCCGGGAACGAAGCCAACCCGAAACTCTCAACCCTCAGCCCTTGTCCCTAAACCGAAAACATAGATTTTTGCAGGATTTTTTCAAGATTTTAAAAACTCATCCGCTCTGCACGGCACTTTATATGTGTTCAGGCTAGGAAAACGAGATTTAGGAAAGCACGAAAATACAGCAAAATCATAGTCAAAAAACGTTAAAATGCTCGAAACACAAGGCCTCCAGCACGTCCCACTCTCCAACCCTAAACCCTGAACCCTGAACCCTGAACCCTGAACCCTGAACCCTCAACCCTCAACCCTCAACCCTCAACCCTCAACCCTCAACCCTCAACCCTCAACCCTCAACCCTCAACCCTCAACCCTCACCCCTCAACCCTCAACCCTCAACCCTCAACCCTCAACCCTCAACCCTCAACCCTCAACCCTCAACCCTCAACCCTCAACCCTCAACCCTCAACCCTAGCCTCGCAATCCCCCTCCATACGCAGCGCCCGACGCTCGAACCGGCGCAGGAGGAGGACTCACAGCTCTGGGGCCTCGTGAGGCCGTGGCCCGCGGAGGCTTCATGGGTGCAGGGTTAGTTAGGGTTTAGGGTAGGGTTTAGGGTTAGTTAGGGTTTAGGTCTTAGGGTTTAGGGTTAGCTAGGGTTGAGGGTTTAGGGTTTGCGGTTAGGGTTTAGGGTTTAGGTTTGGTTTAGGGTAAGGGGCTCCTTTTGCTTGAACGGCCACTCGGTTTTCCAAAGGTACGACGGCAGAGATATGTAAGCATGTATGCATGTACGTTTGTTGTATTTCATTTTATGGTTGAATTAACTTGGAAATTTTGCTTGAATGGTTTCAGGTGTTGGTAGTATACTACAGAAGATTCTATCACAGATGGCCTCCGCGAATGTCCATCAAAAAACCTCGCGGGGCCGGCGATCAGAAGCCCTAAACCCTAACCCCCAAACCCTTAGGGTTTAGGGCTTGGGTTCAGGGTCGGGGGTTCAGGGTTTAGGGTTGTCGGGGTGAGGGATAAGCCCTATAAGCCCCAACCCACCCTAAGCACCGCAATCCCGTGGCCAGGCGAGCGCGGAGCCAGCAAACATCACAAGTCCAAGCCTGGACACGACAAGATCCACAAGGGGTTTATAGGGTTTAGGGTGGGTTTATTCAGTGGTAAAAGGAGTGACCCCCAGAAGGGACGCTAAATCTTATTCCCCTAATATAACCACTATATATATATATATGTCTATATGTCTATATATACCTTATATAATCCTACATACTTCGGTAGCCTCCAAGTAGCCCCTAGATAACCCCCAAGGTCCCTTGTAAGGGTCCCTCCTGTAGTCCCTTGAGTTTAGTGCTGACGGTATAGGGTTGAGGGTGTGAAGTCCGCAGCTTCCCCCAAACTGGAAAGTGTTCCTGAGCCGCTTATTTCAGGGTTCAGGGTTTAGGGTTTAGGGTTTAGGGCTACTCGCTGCAGCAGGATATCAGGGCCAGATGGTAAACAAGTAATCAACATAGCCCATGAGGTGACACTGTCGCATGCTACATGCTCAGCTCCCTAAGTTGTGTCCCTTTTCAATTACCCTAAAGAAGAGGGGCCGCTTCATAACAAGGACCTCAAAAGGGACCATATCTTAGAGAAGTGACCACAGATGTTTTGGGGCATAGTTACCCATCTCCTTTCGGAATCAAGATCCGTTTATATATACAAAACCCAAGGTAATAGTAAATGTACTGCATTTCTTAGGGGTCTAAGGGGCCTACACTCTGTCAACTTCAATCGCCTTTTGGGGCCGCGCTTGGGGTCCACCATGGCGGATCGGCTGGCGCCAGCTACTGCTTGGGCCTTGGAATTCTCCCAGAGAGAGCAATTGGGGGGAGGGGGGAGGGGGGAGGGGGGAGGGGGGGTAGGGTTGAGGGTTAAAGGGTTGAAGGGTTGAGGGTTGAGGGTTGAAGGGTTGAAGGTTTAGGGTTTAGGGTTTTAGGGTTTCCGGTGTTGATCTGCTCTTGCACTAGGTAGGCCCTTGGGATATTTCATGTCTTCCTTTATTGGGCTTTGAGAGGGCCGGTGTGGTAACTTCTTTGCATATGCCTGCGGAGCTGCATGCCAAAGTCACACAGGGGCTTATAGAAATTTAGGGTCATGAGAGTAAACCTAAACCCTAGACCCTCAACCCTCAACCCGAGACCCTAAACCCATGTGGCCGCAGTAAAGCTGAGGCTTTTGCCACCTCTCGCCGCCACCAGCTGATTGTCATCTCATGCTACACTCGCTGGGGTCTCACGCTTTTGACAAATGGGGGAGTTCTATGCAAGGGACATCAGGGGACGCTATCTGGTGCTGTCGGCAAACGGGGACTCAAAAGGCAAAGGTTCATTTGGCCATGTTGGACTGTGATGAGGCGCTTTGCAATGTTCTTGCTGCGAGCACGCGTGGAAAGGTTTCGTGTATCACGGTCAGGGTTGAGATCGATGCATGCGCACCCTAAACCCTACTTGGAGGTCTAGGGTACTTATAACCCCAGTTATATCTGCACTTAGAAGCCCCTAAGTTCTCTAAGTAGGTTAAAGGTGGACTTGTAAATAGGGTTACAAGTACCCATGAACCTCCAAGCAACCCTTTTGGGGGGCATCTGCATCCGGAAGGAACCCTAAACCCTTTCAACCCTTTCAACCCTTTCAACCCTTTCAACCCTTTCAACCCTTTCAACCCTTTCAACCCTTTCAACCCTTTCAACCCTTTCAACCCTTTCAACCCTTTCAACCCTTTCAACCCTTTCAACCCTTTCAACCCTTTCAACCCTAAACCCTAAACCCTAAACCCTCTGCTTTTGCTCCCTGCGCTCGGCGCATCTCAGACGGCCCCCAGAGGCTTCGACAACCTGGCGCACGGCCCTCGCGGGAGGGAGGCCAAGAAGAGGCGCCCTCCCTTGAAGATCAAGAAGGGGGTTTGGGGTTTAGGGTTTAGGGTTTGGGGTTTAGGGTTTAGGGTTTAGGGCCTGTTTAGGGTTTAGGGGGTTTAGGGTTGAGGGTTTAGGTTTTATGTAGGGTTCAGGGCACGGTCTGGAATGTCGAGGGCTGCTTCCGCTTCCCTACTTGGAGGTGCATGGGTACCGGTCTCATAAGCGCGAGACTCCAAAGTAAGGTCCAGGTACTTACGCGGTACGTATAGGCCTCGAAGTCTACATAGGAACTACTCTAAAGCGCCCAAGGGCACCCCGTGTAGGCAGACCCCTAATCCCTAAGCCCGAAATCCCAAACCCTAAATCCCTAAATCCCTACATCCCTAAATCCTAAACCAACCTCTAAATCCTCAAATCCGTAATGGCCCCTGCCCCTTGCACTCTGCTCGCCCAGCCCTCAGCCCTTCCTTCCATTCGCCACTGTAGACGAGGGTTTTAGAATTCAGGGTTCCTATGCAGTCCGGTCCGAAACCGAAACGCAGCGAACTCTCCTTGTCCCAGTCTCCTAAACCCTAAACCCTAAACCCTAAACCCTAAACCCTAAACCCTAAACCCTAAACCTGGCCCCAGTCTCTACACCTTTTGGATGGACACAAGCGACGGCCAGCTGGTGCTCCTCTCGGTGATCAAGGCCCCGCATCTTCAGTCGCATGCACAGGCAGAGTCCTGCAGAAGGGCAACCTTAAGCCCTATACCCTAAAGCTTAAGCCCTGTACCCTAAACCTTAAACCCCACACCCTAAACCTTAAACCTCAAAACCCTAAATGGGTTTTAGCCGGGCCCGGAGAGTGTTATGCTTTTCAGTGCTTTCAAGGGTTCCATGGCCTGGGTCCTCAAGAGGGTAGGGGTGATCGCTCCGACGTTTCCCTGCATACCTCTGCCCCCCCCCCCCCCCAACAACCCCTAAACCCTAAACCCTAAACCCCAAACCCTAAAACCTCAAACCCTCCCACGTTCCTTCCTTTTCATGGCAGGAAGACTGCATGAACCCGGCCTTCTCTCGTTGGCATCCAAGGCAGGTCACTCGTCATGGGCAGGTGATCCTGGACCTTAGGGTTTAGGGTTTAGGGTTTAGGGTTTGTGGTCTTTTTGGGGTCCTTCTTGAATAGTGCCGTACAATAAAGGAGACCCAAAAAGGGGCCCAACTTAGTGAACTAACTACCCATCTGTACACCCTGTAAGGCCTTAAACACACACACGCACACAAACCTTTAAACCCCAAACCGTAAACCCTACACCCTACACCCTAAACCCTAAACCCTAAACCCTAAGCCAAACCCTAAGCCCTAAGCCAAACCCTAAGCCCTAAGCCAAACCCTAAGCCCTAAGCCCTTTCAACCCTAAGCAAAGCTACCTCGACTGCCAGGAAGAACGTCATGTACACATGCCGCGGACCCAGGTTTGCGAAAGCCTTTGCCCGCAGAATGGCGCACCTCAATGTGTGATGATCTGGGAAGTGTCCCAAAACACGGGGCACCCTTCTCGGGGTTCCTATAGTAAGGAGAATCGCATGTCTTGGGGCACCTTGAACCCTAAACCCTAAACCCTAAACGTCCCTAACCCTAAACCCTAAACCCTCAACCCTCAACCCTAAACCCTAAACCCTAAACCCTCTTCTAGGAGAATCTTCACAAGGCACGGAGTCGGTCGCTGAGAACGGAAAGATCGATGCTTGGAGCGCCGGGGCCCCAGAAGTGCGCTGAAAGAGCAGAGGGCAGAGCCCTCCACACCGGTTAGGGTTTAGGGTTTAGGGTTTAGGGTTTAGGGTTTAGGGTTTAGGGTTTAGGGTTTAGGGTTTAGGGTTTAGGGTGTTGCGGTGTTAGGGTGTTAGGGTGTTAGGGTTTAGGGTTTAGGGTTACTATTTGGGATGTTCCCCCTTTATTATACTAACAGTCCTTAGTAGGGATCATACTAGGGGGCACTATAATCTCTATTAAGGGCTGTTAGTATGAGGGGGAAACATCCCAACTTACTCTTCGTACTGTTCTTGCTTGTATATCTGTGAGACTATTAGTATTACTGCCATTACTACTGTTTTTATTGGATAAAAACGATTGTTACACTACGATGACATATTGCTAGCATCTTACTAGCAAGTTTTATTGCTGTCACTAGAATTTACCATCAGTACTACTGTGTACTCTCGGTACTATGCTTAATCCTCTTGCTATTATTACTCTTATGACACTTACTACAATCATTAGGTTCATTGATATTATTTCCGTTATTACAATTGTTACGATTATTGCGGCTTGTCTTTCATGAATAGTAATACTTTCATCATTGGTATGACGATTATCACAAATTCTGTTATTGCTGTTACTCCGATTGTTGCTGTTTACTTTTGCCATTTCACCGTTATAGCTTTTTCCTATCTTGACCTTCATTACTGGTGTTACCGATAAGACGTCTGACTCTTATTGCTACTATTCTGAGTACTGCTATTATTGTTACTGTTGCCGTCGTAATTGTTATGACTACCATTGCTACCATGACCATGATGACCACCATTGTGACTTCTGCAACCATTGCCTTTATTCGTATGATTCCTTGGATGATCTCGGTTGTTGCTGTCATTGCTACGGTTCTAAACCCTAAACCCTAAACCCTTGGTATAACTATTGCAACTACTCTGACTTTTGTTGCTATTGGCTTTTGTGGGCCGAGCATCGATCGCCAGGTTGACCCGAAGACCGGGCAGCTTACCAACATCGGGTCCTTCGACGTGCGGGGCATACCTTAGGGCCTAGGGTTTTGAAGTTTATGTCGGGTTTAGGGTTCAAGTTTATAGGTTTAAAGGGTTTAGGGTTTAAGGTTTAGGGTTTAGGGTTTGGGGTTTAGGGCTCGCTTGCAAAGCTGTGGGCGTGGCCGCGGCGCAGCACAGACGCCTTCCCTCAGGCTGGCGGCACTTCCACCTGCTACATCACGCTGGACAAGGCTCTCGGTCTCCTCAGGGATACCTGGAAATTATTTTTAAGTTTTTGGGTACTTTAATTCCTGAGAAACAGCTAAAATTACAATTTTCGCTAGGGTTCCAAGTTCAGTGTAGTCCCTGGCACTTGTCGGAAACCACCCTTAAACCCTTTTTAGGGCTTGGGGTCCCTTATAATTTAACCCCTTCATTTAGCGTTTGGGGTCCCTTATCGGCACCTTGTTCTCCCTTAAGCCCTACATAGACCCTGTGAATCCAAAGTTGGCCGCTGACAAAAGGAGTGGTTTGGGAGACTGTCGACCTAGCATCATGGGTTCCCCTACTACCCCCCTTTGTACTACCCCCCTGGTCAAGGTTATTAAGTCGGGAACCTGGAGGGAGTAGTATAGAGGGGGGTAGTGGTGAAATCCATGAAGGCCTGTGAGAACATGTTGGTGGTCAACTACTGGAACGACGCTGGGCTCCGTCTGGCACGGTTCGGCGGTCCAATGGTTTTCAAGTGTCTTCGGATATTTTGGGCCCCAAACTAACCCTAAACCCTAAACACTGTACCCTATGCGCTATACCCTGTAGACCCTAAGTCTCCAGGGCTTGGGTTCCCCAGTTCAGAACTTCCAGGCTACCTGGTAGCTGAGTAGTACCCTTTGCAGCTCTTTATTGTCATTTTGGGGTTTAGGTCTTTTCAGTGCCCTTTGCAGCTCTTTATTGCCCGTTTGGGGTTAGGTCTTTTCAGTATCCCTCGCAGCTCTTTTTTGCAGGTTTGGGGTTTAGTGTTTTTGGGGTTTAGGCCTTGTTTTGCCTTTTTTTGTTTAGGGCTTAGCCCCTTTTGCCATGTTTGAGTTTAGGCTTTCGGTTTTGGCACTCTTTTGCCCCTTTTTGGGGTTTAGGGTTCAGGCCTTTTTTGCCCTTCGTTTGTTGTGCTTAGGGTTTAGGGTTTAGTTTTTTTTTTTTTACCTGTTGATGGTTCCACCCCCCCCCAAAAAAAAAATGGCATCCTTACTATACTGCATTTAACAAGTAACCCACTCACAAAAGGGTTTAGGGTTTAGGGTTTAGGGATATGGTTGCTGGGCTACCAAGGCCACGATTGGCGTTTTCGGGCTGGACAAAGAGTCGGGAGCCGCGAGGGGCCCAAGCCGGGGGGGGGGGGGGGTTAGGGTTTAGGGTTTAGGGTTTAGGGTTTAGGGTTTAGGGTTTAGGGTTTAGGGTTTAGGGTTTAGGGTTTAGGGTTTAGGGTTTAGGGTTTGGGGTTTAGGGTTTAGGGTTTAGGGTTTAGGACCGGGAGTGGGAGATCTGAACATCCCAACCCTAAGCCCCTAAACCCTATACCCTAAACCGCCTGTGCTCGAGGTGAGCTGCCGCCGCTCTCTCTTTGATCCCAACGAGGGGCGGCCGATGAAGGCCTGGTCGCTTTTGCATGTTGCTTTGTGTTGTTTAGGGTTTAGGGTTTAGGGTTTAGGGTTTAGGGTTTAGGGTTTAGGGTTTAGGGTTTAGGGTTTAGGGTTTAGGGTTTAGGGCTTACGGTTTAGGGTTTAGGGTTTAGGGTTTAGGGTTTAGGGTTTAGGGTTTTGTGGCCGCTTCTTGGGTGAATGTTGACAAGGCACGCCACGATCGGCACGTGAACCACTCGGAGAACGATCCAAGTGCACAGCAGGAGCCGGAGACCCGGTGAGGATGGACCTTGTTTGCCTTGTCTCGCTTGTGTTAGTAGGTTTCAAGGTTCAGGGGCTACGTCTTGGGGCCCAGGATCGCCCCCATGTCGCCGCATCCCCCGGTAAAGGTCCTTTCTTGAGACTCAAATGTAGCGCTATTCTACTTGTCCCTTGTACTAGGTGTACACAACTGCAGGTAGTGTACCCTAAGTATCAGTAGATTTCCCTGGTGAAGGGTACATATTTCTACTACAGGTATCGTACATTTCGCTTTGAAAGGGAGCCCCTCAGGCCTAAACTCTAAAACTTTTTCAAGGGCACATTCCCTTTGTTAAAGCTTAGTAGCTGAAGGAGCACACTTTACACTCTTTGGGAGACTTATAATCCCCTATAGATCTGAAGGTGTACACTTTTTTGGGCCCTAAACCCTAAACCCTAAACCCTAAACCCTAAACCCTAAACCCTAAACCCTAAACCCTAAACCCTAAACCCTAAACCCTATGAACTCAGCAACTAATTCTGTGGTGGGCAGCGCACACTGCCCGGCTCTTGTGCGGCGGGCGCCTCCTGGCCTGTGGTCGATGCCGACCGATGTCGGCAAGATTACGAGTTTCCTTGCATCTCTAGATGTGTGATGTATAGATATACAGATGTAGATATAGACGCTCTAAATAAATGCATACGATAAATAGATAAATAGATAGAAATAAATAAAGATACATATATATATATATATATGTACACATACATGCACACATGTGTGTATATATGTATATAAGAATGCGTTTACATGTATATCTAGAACACACACATATATACATATATACATGTTGTATGCATCTCTACATATAGATATCAAGTATGTGCGCAAACATACATTCGTATGCTCGCCTGTGCGTACGCACAAATTGCGGCGCCACTCAGGAGGCAAGCCGACCCTCACTCACATGCCGTGATCCTGGATCCGTTCTATGGCTCGCATCCCGGCCAGCAGTGCGGACTTCGGACGCCGGCGTGGGGTGTCCGGGACGTGCGCGCATAGTGAGGAAGGATAGCCTACGTGCCCGACCTCGGCCGGCCCAGCACAATTTCCTGGCAGATATCCTAGAGACCCTAAGGCAGTTGTCAACGCGCCAGGAATGGATCTCATCCGTCAGTTCTACTACGATCCGGAGGCACTCGCACCTGCACTTCCTTGGGCCTAGAGTCTAGAGCCTAAACCCTAAATTCCTGGAGCTCGGATGTAATTAAGCCCTCTCCTTCACTCCCTACCTCCTGCGCTCTTCACTTGCTATGTGGGGTGTCCCGTTTTTGGGGGGGCCTTTTTTGAGAATATTCTTCTGCAGTTGGGGGTAAAAAAATGGAGGTGACCCAAATTGTTGGAAACACACACCCCCATCCCCATGCTCCTTATGCAGCCCGAAGCTAAAGGCGCCATGTATGTACCCCAAAGCCGAAACCCTTATATATATATATGTATATATATATATATATATACATGTGTGTGTAGGACCTTTATGCGTCTACTGTTTTGGGTGCTTCTTTGATCATTGAATGTAATGAATTTTTTAAAACGAGTTTAAGAAATTCAAGTATTACAAATTTGCAACAAGTCTTCAAAGTATTCAGGAATGTATAAATTTAGCAGGGCCGAAATTCTTTCACCCAAGAATCCCAAGCCCTAAGGCCCCTAGCCCCAGAGCGTCATGCCCGCCAGCCCGAAAGCCCACCCTAGACCTGAAACCCCAAGTTGCGTGCACGGCCTAATTTAGGGTTTAGGGTTTAGACTTTAGGGTTTAGGGTTTAGTGTTTTGGGTTTAGGGTTTAGGGCTTAATGTTTCTGAACTTGGAGAGGCGGGGCAGCTCTTCGCCGCGGGGACTATGTCGTCTGGGCCTGCAGGCACGCCAAGCTCATGATCTTCCTAAACACCAAACCCCAAACCTAAGTCCTAAACCCCAAACCCTAAACCCCAAACCCTAAACCCCAAACCCCAAACCCTAACCCTATAAACCCTAAGCCCTAAACCCTAACCCCCAAGCCGCTTTAAGGATTTGTTTCGATCCCAAAGTTTACAGATTGCTTCCTCGGGGCTCCGGAGATACCATTCGGTTCTGTTGGTGCGTTTTAGCCCCCCGACTGGAGACCCCAAACCCTGAACCTTAAACCCTAAACCCTAAACCCTCAGGAGGGCCCTAAACGACCCTGAAGCCCAAGCCCGAATAATAGTACTCCCTTAGGGTCTTTTTGTACCATAACAATGCCCCAAAACCTCACTCTAATTCAGGCCCCCTATGTTACACCCTTCTACCCGTACCAAGTGCACAGCAGTGTGCCTGCGATGTGGCATGGGTCTGAATGCAGCCCCCTTCCTAATCCGTAAACCGTAAACCCTAAACCCTAAACCCTAAACCCTAAACCCTAAACCCAGGTCGCAAGGCTCTGGGCCCGCGGTACATCGAGTTCCACCCCACGTTGCCCATTTGCTATGTCGCAGCTGCCCAAGAATAGACGGCTGGTTTCGGGTTTAGGGTTTAGGGTTTAGGGTTTAGGGTTTAGGGTTTAGGGTTTAGGGTTCTCTGTAGGGGGTTCGAGGTTCTATCTCTCACATCAGAATTGCATGAACGGAAATCACCTTGGATCAATGATCAATGGCCGTTGCTCCTGAAAAAACTAAACTCACAAAGAACTTACTGGGAGAACGAGTGAAACGAACGCGACATGTCAATTGCTTACTCGTTCGACAAGACACTGTTATCTCACATGCAAACCAAGTGAAGTCATGTGAAGTAGGGTTTATATTGCTGTTACTGGTGAGTGTATATAAGGTTCCTTTTCAATATTGGTGAGTGTATCTACTCGGTGTCCTTTTGGGGATACAAGAAATAAAAACCCTACGTCTTGTAAGGCTTTAGGAAAGAAGAGAAAGCAGACAGAGCTTCCACCTAGGTTCGTTGAATGCCGAGTTTTTATTAGATGGGACAAAGGAGCATGCGAAAGAGAACGACTTGATATATATATATATATATATATGTATACGTATATATATATATATATACATGTTAGCAACAGGCTCAGTAAGCGAGCAACAAGTTCTGCCGTTTTGGACTCAGATTCAAAGCCAGGTAGTATTTATTCGAGCAGCTAGACTTCAAACATGTTTCATGTGTTTACTCGTGCACCTCCTTCCTTACTCTGACTCCTTATAAACTGTAACTGTAAAAGTAGTGACCTTGAAGCGAGGCATCATGACACTTCCTTGCGTGTAGGGTTTAGGGTAAGCCATAGGTGACAAGGAATACGGTGAACAAAGAGAAACACAAATGGCAAATCGCGAGCTGATGAATGATGCGGAATACAAGCGCGGCACATCCTGACACTGTTTTTGGCTTTAGACGACGCAGAGGGCACGAGACCCCTTGATGAAGGAAGATGCCTCACTTTAAAGTGCAATCGGGGTCCCAGCCTAAATAGACCAGAAACCCTAAACCCCAAGCCCCAAACCCGAAACCCTAAATTATTGAGGGTGACTGGGCTCTCTGGGGATGCAGCGTAGGCCTTGATTACAGACCGCAAAGGGCCCCGTATGGATATAGTTCCTCAAAATAAAAGCAGTCCTTTTTGGGACCGTCCTCTTTATCAGCTGCCGTACCATATAGCGTTGCAAAACCCGAAACCCTAAACCCTAAACCCTAAACCCTAAACCCTAAACCCTAAGCCCTAAGCCCTAAGCCCTAATCCAATGTACGGAGCTACCCGTGTTGTTTTTTCTTCACGAAGTGAGGTAAATGAGCTCGCGTCCGACATCTCGGTTTTCGAGTTCGACCATGAGGCTACGCAGGCCGGCAAGGGGGGTTTAGGGTTTAGGGTTTTGGGTTTAGGGTTTAGGGTTTAGGGTTTAGGGTTTAGGGCAGTTTGTGGCCCTTTGCGGGTCTCTTTCTCGCAGTACTTAAGGGTTTCGCATGTGTAGCTCGATCCTCAACCACGTAGTGTGTCTATCGCGTGGGCTCTCTCGGGAAGGCGAGGGCTTTTTGCTCTCAAGCACCCTAATTAGGCTTAGTGGCTCTCGGAGGGAAATTCGGGAATTAGGTACGTCAAATAGTCCCTGGAAGGGTTGCAGGTAAGGTCACGAGTTGCCTAAGAGGCCAAAACAAGCTCGCAAGCACCCCAAGCCCTAAACCCCAAGCCTTAAACCCTAAACCCCAAATCCTACTCCCCAAACCCTAAACCCCGAACCCCAAACCACTTGAACCCTGGCAGGCCATCATCCAAGGCGGGCGCCAGGGTGCCGCCCAGGCTCGGGGGGGGGGGGGGGGGATGGACTTTTGGACCTTTTTTGGTGGGGGGGGTGGGGGGGTTAGGGTTTAGACTTGTTTGGCCCCTTTTTTTGGGTGGGGGGGAGGGGGGTTTCTGTGGGTAGGGGCGGGGGGGTTCAGGGTTTAGGGTTTAGGGCCCCCCCAGAAAAAGGGCCAACAAAAATGGGTCCCCCTCGCGGGGTGCTCCGCGAGGGGTGCTCCGATCTCGCGCACGGGCGAAGCCTTGGGTCTTACTGTTGTTTTTTGTTTTGGGGGCTTTGGGGTTCGTTCCTTTTTGTGTTTTGGTGTTTTTTGGGGCTTTGGGGGTTTTTGTTTTTTTGTTTGGGTTTGGGGAGTTTTTCGGGTACTTCGGTACTGACACTGCCCATCGCCGCGGTGCCTTTGCCATCTTATCGGCTTCTTAAGGGAGGGGGCTTCAAGGGGGGGTAGGTACCTAGGGAAGCTTAGGAAGGCTTAGCAAGGCTTAGGGAGTAGTGGGGGGGGGGGTTTAGGGTTTAGGGTATTAGGGATCCTTGGGTTACCTACCCCCCTTGAGAACCCCCCCCCCCCCCCCTTAAGAACCTTATAATCATCATGATGTGCAAGAGGCCGCCGCTGCAGGAACTGAAGCCTCAATCATTGCCAGCGTTGTCCACTGAGAACTCACGCTCGAAGCTCAATGCTGTCCCCACACCCTAAACCCTAAACCCTAAACCCTAAACCCTAAACCCTAAACCCTAAACCCTAAACCCTAAACCCTAAACCCTAAACATTGTCAAGCTCGCGGACGTTTGAGGCTCAGCCCACCCTGCGCCTGGTGCAGCCAGATCCTCGGGGATGAAGCCTACAAAGAACGGTCGGTTTGGGGTTTTAGGGTTTTGGGTTTGGGGTTTAGGGTTTAGGGATTAGGGTTTGTGGTGGTTTAGGGTGGTTTTGGGAGAGGACTGTAGGTTTTTAGGGTCCTGGAAGCTTAAATAAGGTTAGAACCAGCTAGAACTAGAGCTGCCCTTCTTTGTAGCCCTGCTTGTGAGCACCCATGTGCCTAAACCCTAAACCCTAAACCCTAAACCCAAAACCCTAAACCCTAAACCCTAAGCCTCCAAGTAGGGTGTAGGGCTTAGAGCCATGCAGTCGACGACCTGCTGCTTAGAAGGTAACAGCAGGATCCGGGAAGAGGCTTTGCAGTTCTACCCGACAAAGAAGTAGGGTTTTTGGGTACTTAAAGCTTAGGGTTTAGGGTTTAGGGTTTAGGGTGTAGGGTGATAGGGTTTAGGGTTTAGAGTCTTGAATTTCCCGTGTGTTTTACCTTTGACCCCTTAGTCAAGGAGTAGTCCTCGAGATACACCTAGGATCCCAAGTCTTGTTAAAGAAACATTCCTTGATTGTGGGGCAATGGCTGCCAAATGGAGATCGACCCAACTTGTGTGGCCCTTTTGGCAGTCTACTAGAAGATCTTGTAGGTTGTTTTTTTTAAGGGCCCGGCTGGCCAGGCCCATAACAGAGATCCAGCCCTACCAAGCGCCCAACTCCGGCCACCCCCAAAAAATGACCAAGAGCAAATGTAAGGGATTTAGGGTTGGTTTAAGGGTTTAGGGTTTAGGGTTGCATGTCTCAAGTGGGGCCAGTTTTTTTTTTTAATAAAAGCGTCCGAGCCACACCTTTAAAAAAAAAAACCTCCCGCCGTCTCAAGTGTCGGGCAATGCCCACACTGCAGGTCTGTCCGCACCATCCCAGATGCGTTCCCAGGGGCCGCAACCTGAGATCAGACGGCAGGCTCTTTTTGGTTGGGGGTTTGGGGTCTCTGAACCCTAGCCCTAAACCCTGAACACTGGACCTCGGAAGGAGGCCAACACCTGCGGTCGGGTGGCCGTGCACTCCTCCGGGAATTTCGTCCTTGTCTCGCAGCTGAGCTTGAAGATTCAGGGTTCAGGGTTTAGGGTTTAGGGTTTGGGGTTTGGGGTTTAGGGTTTGGGGTTTGGGTTTGAAGGGTTTTGGGTTTAGGGTTCAGGGTTCAGGGTTTAATGTAGAACCCGGCTTTGCTCAGAGCGCTTTCCAGTTTGCTGCCAGTACCGCCTGCAGTCCAGCTCAACTTGTAGGACTGCAGGTCTTCCCGCGGGAATTCAGCAGCCACCCGAAGAAAGCTTTATCAACCCTAAACCCTGATTGAGTTCGTTCCTCGCTGCGTTGGACACCAACTGAGGAACCGAGGCCACGACAGCATCACAGTCTTCAGAGTGCCACTCTCGGCAGTTTCGGGCTTTAGGGGTTTGAGGGGTTTTAGAAATTTCAGGGGTGTTAGGGGTTTTTGGGTTTAGGGAGTTTTCGGGATTTTAGGGCCGTTTTTGGATTTTAGGGGTTTTAGGGGTTTCAGGGGTTTCAGGGGTTTAGGGATTCAGGTTTTCGTGTTCTAGAGGTTTGGGTTGTAGGGGTTTCGGGTTTAGGGTTCTAGAGGTTGAGGGGTGGGGTTTAGAGTTTAGGGTTCTTCAGTTTTGGGGTTTAGGGTGTTGGGGCTTTGTGTTTTGGGGTGTTAAACCCTACACCCCTCCTTCTCTGTCTGAGGTGCACTACACACACGGTCATAGAGGCTTGTTGTCAGTGGCCGTGACACAGCCAGACTCTCAGATGCCTAGGGACGTGGGTGTGGGTTGGGCGGCCATGGCAAGGGTTTAGGGTTCAGGGTTTAGGGCTAGGGTTTAGGGTTCGGGGCTTAGGGTTTAGGGCAAGGGTTTAGGGTTTAGGGTTGAGGCGGGTCACACGCAGGCCGTGGGTGCTGGTCTTGGAGCTTCGAAACCGGATTCCAGAAGTCTGTTTGCAAAAGAGTCGACCGTAAGACCCTAAAACCCTAAAACCCTAAAACCCTAAAACCCTAAAACCCTAATTAAAACCCTAAAACCCTAAAGCCCTAAAGCCCTAAAACCCTAAAAGCCTAAAACCCTAAAACCCCAAAACCCTAAAACCCTAAAACCCTAAAGCCCTAAAACCCCAAAACCCTAAAGCCCTAAAGCCCCAAAGCCCTAAACCCCTAAAACCCTAAAACCCTAAACCCTAAAACTCCAAAACCCCAAAACCCCAAAACCCCAAACCCCAAAACCCCAAAACCCTAAAACCCTAAAACCCCAAAAGCCCTAAACCCCTAAAGCCCTAAACCCCTAAAGCCCTAAAACCCTAAAACCCTAAAACCCTAAAACTGCAAGACCCTGAAACCCAAAGCCCGCTAAGCCCCTAAAGCCGGAACCCCGAACCCTGAGCCGATTAGAGCGCTTGCGAGCTGCCCTGCTAGGACCCTTTGCTTAGAGTTTAGGGTTTAGGGTTTAGGGTTTAGGGTTTAGGGTTTAGGGTTTAGGCTTCAGGGTTCAGGGTCTAGGGTTTAGGGCGCAGGGATTTCGGACCTGCATTTCTTTGGTTGCAGGGGTCTTAGTGTCGTAGCCGACCCAAAGAAGAACGCGAAACCCTACACCCGATATCCTAAACCCCAAACCCTAAATCCAACACCCTAAACCCTAAACCCTAGCCCTAAACCCCAAACCCTAAAGAACTGGAAGGGGTTTCCAAAAGGCAAGGCTTCGAACCCTCAAGGCCTTCGAGAGCCCTTGAGGGTGCCCTGTCAGGCACACCAGAGGAGCCACTCCCAGGCATGGCTGCCATTTAGGGTTTAGGGTTTAGGGTTTAGGGTTTAGGGTTTAGGGTTTAGGGTTTAGTAGCGTGTAGGGGTTATGGTCGTCAGCTCATGGACCAATTGCTTGCGGCTTGCCTTATGGTTCGTCACATATTCCAGGACCCAGAGTAGGCCCTCCCGCTCTTCTTTTGATGTGCAGGTTCCGTTGTTATACACCCCTTCAAGCCAAAACGGGCATGCCTGTTTATTCTTAGGTAGCTCTTCTGTCTAGTCTCCCTAAACCCTAAACCCTAAACCCTAAACCCTAAACCCTAAACCCTTGTTGCTTTCTTTGTCACCGCCACTCCTGACAGCCTCGAAGTCTCCGTCCTTGGCGAGGCACTTTCAGTTTGATAGCTCCGGGCAGTGGCTCATTACCGCCAACCAGGACACGCTTGAGGGGCCGCACCCTAAACCCTAAACTCTAAACCCTAAACCCTAAACCCTAACCCCTAACCCTAAACCCTAAACCTGATCTGTGTCAAACAAAGCCTGTGTTGGAAGGACTCCGACAACATTTCGGTCTTCCGGTTTAACCTGGCAACTGGAAAGCTCGAGTGGACGGGCAACGAGTGCCCCAGGGCAGGTTGTTTTCTGAAGAGTTTAGGTTTAGGGTTTAGGGTTTAGGGTTTAGGGTTTAGGGTTTAGGGTTTAGGGTTTAGGGTTTAGTGTTTAGGCTCTGCTCCCCGTTGAATGCAAGCGTCCGCAGCCTGAGCTTCCGTAGGTACGAGGTGCCATCCCCGAACTTTGTCTGCAACGTGGTGCCGCATCAGCAGCTCCCCAAGGTGTGTTTTTTTTCATTGTCCATTCATTGTTATTTGTATTGTCATGATTGTTATTACTATACCTATGTTGCTATTTTTTGTATGAGTGTGATTGTAGTAATTCTCATGACTATTAATATTCACAGCACCTGCCTGACAGTCTCGCGTTGTGTTGCCACGCGGGTCCCCTCGAGTTGATGCTGGGTTTGCCGTCGCCCTTAGCTGGCTCACACGGCTCTCAGGCGGATTATGTCTGTATTCTTGTATGCTTACATTTTTATATTCGTGTTTTATGCCTATATGAATGTGTAGTTTTACTAGTATATGATGATATAGTAAAATACAAATTCTTATATTGGTAGAGTCGTGTGCTTAGTTTTTTGTACGACTCTGTTACTACGTAGTTGTATATCTGCATTCTATAGTGCGTGTTACTGTACTATATCGAATCCCGCAGCGCCCGCCTTCTGCTGCTGCAGGGCCATTGGGCAGATGGACCCACCAAGCCTGTCCAAGGCGGACGAGGCGCTGCTCCGGCGCGCGATCGAGAGCTCGCGCCGAGCCGTGGCCAAGGGGAACCACCCCTTTGGCTGCGTCATCGTGGTGCGGCGCCGGTCGGATGGTGATGTGGTGGAAACGATCGATGCGGAGAATCGTGTTATCACAGACAGCGACCCTTCTGCACACGCCGAGATGTGTGGCGTCCGCCTCTTGGGGGCCGCCGCTGCGGCTGCACGAGCCACGAAGCGCTTCGATGGCTGCTCCTTCGAATTGTTTACGAGCACAGAGCCGTGTGTCATGTGCTGTGGCGCCATCTATTGGTCCTTTTTGATTGACCGGGTGGTGTACGCGTGCCCGGAGGCAGGGCTGGCCCGACACGCTGGGGACGACTTCCTCTCATCCTGCCGTGAGACTCTGGCGAAGGGCAAGCGACCGATCACCGTGGAGGGGCCGTTCCTGGCCGAGGAGGCAGAGAAGCTGCATGCAGAGTTTTGGCCAAGCTTTTTGGCCTCACTCGGGGACGCGGCTTGATGGGGATGAGAGACTCCGGTGGTGTCTGCATACCTAGAATGAAAAAGATGCCGAGAGCTCGGCGGATCTAAGAAAGGATGGCAGCAGAAGCATCGACGGTGGCTCGTAGACGCGCAGGTGGCAAGGGTTCCTTAAGAACCAACTAGCCAGTAGCCTACTTTTTGTAGAGACTATTTGGTTTAATGACACCCTTTGAAGCAGGTCTCTTTGTAATTATATTCTTGTGATTAAACGCATACCCTAAGCCCTAAAGCCGAAACCTCAGAATTCTTGAACAGCGTACAAAAAGTAGGTTGGGGGGTTCCCTTCTGACCACCTGAAGGGTAAGAGTTTAAGGTTTAAGGCTGGAATGTAAAAGTCCTGGGCAACCTACAGGAAATAGGTGTTGAGTCCTTCAGGCCAAAATAGCCCTAAACCCTAAACCCTAAACCCTGAACCCTAAACCCTAAACCCTAAACCCTAAACCCTAAACCCTAAACCCTAAACCTAAACCCTAAACCATAAACCCTAAACCCTAAACCCCAAACCCTAAACCCTTTCGTCCCCTGGCTCCGCAGAGCTCACTCCCCCCCCGCCAAAGCACCGAGGTCCGCGGCGGATGGTCCTCGGTCAAGCCTCTGAATGTGAGAGGTCATGGCTTTCGGGTTTGGAAACATAGGATCAAAGGCGGTTGAAGCTTAGACCCTAAGCCCTGAAGAAAGTCAAGCCCTCCAACTGGGTTCCGAGTGCTGCCTCCAGGTCCAACTCTCTATGGGAAGGGGGGCGGGCCAAGAGGGTTTAGGGGTTGTAGGGTTTAGGGTTTGCGGTTCATGGATAGGGTTGTAAGTAGGGTAGTTAGAGCCACAGCTTAGCAGAACTCACGCAGAACCTCCCACTTCTCATAAGTATTTATGGACCCTTGAGTGAGGGTTTGGGGAGGCGCTTAGGGATTGGGGGTTGGAGCTGCCTATGGCGCCTTCAACCAGGGGGGGGGGGGGGGGGGTAACCCTCTATGGGCAGCCTGAATAACAAAGAGGCCTTTTATGATGATAGGTACGGGTGATTCGGGAAGCTCCCATGCTGTTCGGGCCAGAGGTTTGATTCTTGTTTGGAATTTAGGGTTTAGGGTTTAGGGTTTAGGTTTGGGGCTCTTGGGCTACAAGTGGTTGGACTCAACGGCCATCCCAGCTTGGACCTGGGGGGGACATGGTGCGCCGCGCGGGGGAACAAAGGTCGCTGACAGCTGAGGGCGATGTCTTGCATCGTAAAGCCTGAAAGAAGAAGATCAATCCCCCCCCCCTCCCAAACCTTAACCCCCAAACCCCAAACCCTCAACCCTAAACTATTCAACCCTAAGGCTTGCAGCTTTCAGAGTTCAGGTTTAGGGTTTGTGGTTTGGGGTTTCGGGTTGGGTTTGGGGTTTAGGGTTTGGGGTTTAGGTTTTTGTTGTTTTAGTGTTCGGCGCCTTTCAGTCATCTGCTTCCTTTGCTGGCCACAGCACACTGGGGCTCAAGTGGGTCTCACCGAAGCGGTGTTGCCCCCAAGCTCTCAGAATCAAGGTGCAGGCTCCACATGTGGGCCCTGCGGGAGAGGACGTACGATATACATGTATATATTTATATATGTATGTATATACACATAAATATGTATCGTAGGTTTTCGCACATAGACATACTTAGAGATAGAACAGGAAGAGCATCGAAAGCTGATATCGATCTGTGAACATCTGCGCAACGAAGACCTCGACAAGCTGCGTTCGTCGAGCCGCCGTGGGCCGCACTTGCCATGTCTGGACCTTGGGTCAGGGTTTAGGGTTTAGGGTTTAGGGTTTAGGGTTTAGGGTTTAGGGTTTAGGGTTTAGGGTTTAGGGTTTAGGGTTTAGGGTTTACAAGCATTAATAGTTAAGCATATAGGCTAACCCCGCACCTCACATCCTGCACCCCCTATGCTTTTACCCCGTTTCTCAACCCGCCTGTGAATTCAACCCGTCTAACCCCACAAGCTCCCCCAAAATCTACACTGTACTCCGTAACACAACCCAAAACACAAAGCACCTCCCAGCCCTCACCCCAGACGCGCCTAAACCTTCATCCCAAAACCACCCAAAACCTTACTTCCAAAACCCTGAGCCAGAGACACAAAAACAAACCTTAACCTCAGTAACATAGTCCATATCCTGACGTGAACTGGGAAGTTAACAACCCCCCTCCCCCGCCAGAACCTAGAGACGATCCGAAATCCCTTACCTAATCCATTTCAAAACCCACAGTTCCAAAAAGCAACATACGCTAATCCCAACATGCTTGCCCCTGCCCTGCAACCCGAAAAGCTTCGACCAACATACTTGTACCTCCTGCTGCACCTCCTGCTGCTCGACGCCATTGGTGAGCGTGGCTATGATATTAGTGTTGACTTAACTTTTTCTGTATTGTCCTAACGTTCTGGGGTTTTCGCCCAATGCGAAGTCATCTCCTTTTCGCTGATGCCTGTTTTCCGAAATCATTCCCCACCTCTATTTCAGGATACATAGCCATAGTCATGGTGTTATATACTTCTTTCACTATCAGTTTCTACATCTTCATCTTCATCAAGTCGCCCTTTTGATAAATACCGTCAGACAATGTTAAGACACTGTGAGACAATGTTGTATTTAATGTATTTCCTGAAGTTTTTGTAGTAAACTTACATAAGATATTCGTTATCCTCCCTGCTTAATGGTTAACATGCGGTTCGTATCCTGCTTCGTTCAGTTGATGATCGACCTTAAACACGTCATTATCCGAATGTATCAGGACGTATGTTTCCTTATCGGTCATATTCAGCAGCTCATCTAAATTATCAACATTTTATATTTAACAGGTTCAGGGGGGTATTGAGTGTGAGGTCTGGGGTCAGCACCTGCTTGCTTTCTGAGGGTTTCGGGTTTAGGGTTTGGGGTTGAGGGTTTAGGGTGTAGGGTTTATAGGGCTTAGCCGCCAAGACCTGTCTGACAGGTGGCACCTGAACATCCCAATCTTCCGGCGCCTGGACAAGGCTGCGGCAGTGGCAGCTCGTGTGACAGCATGTGAAAGGTGCCTTGAAAAGAAGCAGGATTCTGTTACCCCAAACCCTAAACCCTAAACCCTAAACCCCAAACCCCAAACCCTAAACCCTAATTAAACCCTAAACCCTGGCTCGCCTTCAAGTGCCGCAGAGTCGTTTCCATTATGCTGGAATAGTTTCCTTTGCTCGTTTCTGCCTCCGTGAAGGTTGCCGAGCATGAAAAGGGTGCCGTCGGGCTCCCGGAGGCAACCTTAAACCCTATAAACCCTACCATGGGGGTGGGGGGGGGGGGCCTTGTTGGGGTTCCTATAACTAGGAATAGACGATTTTGGGATATCTTCAGGGGACCCCTTTTTCAGGGGAAGTTCGTGTCTGTGTTCTGCAACCCTGCTGCTGAGCACTTCAGTCCACCAGTCAGCAAGCCGCGTGACACCAAGTATGCATGCGCAGGTACTATGCAGACAAGATGTGTGTGTGTATATATATATATACGTATATATATATATATATGTATTTGTTTGTTTATTTAGTTGTTTATTTACGTGTATCGACATGCGCGCGCATGTCCTGAAACAATGCACATGCAGAGTACGCGCAGAGTATGCTGGTGTTGGATTGCGACGAGCTCCAGATGACAAATTGCCAAGGTCCTGGCTCTTGCGAGGACTCCCAACTGCCGGTCTTGTCGTTCTGGTAGGCTCAACAGACTACATGTCAGTCACTGGAACAACAGTTGCTCTTTGGTAGTTAGCCAGAACAGATACATGTAACAATTGCACTGGTGTGTTCCAGTAGCCATCATGGTACCAGACACTAAAACACTTGCACCAGATCTCGATGACAGTGCAGTTTTTCCTTTGTAGGTTCACGTCACGTCTACATTACATTCTTCAGTTCCGCACGGTTTCGCCAACAGCACGAAATTGAACTTTCTTGACGCCAGAAGAAAGTGACCTTGCAGCTCACGCAGCTCTTCAGGACCTGGTGGGGCTTTGCCGAGGGTGTACCCAAGGCGATGCTATTCCTGGCCCGCAGTCCTCAACGTGGCACTGAGATGCGTGTCCCCAGGTCCTGAAGACCGTCCGTGTCAACGGCTTTGGTCTCAGTGAGAGCACTTGCCTAGAGTAACCAGCCCTTACATATATGAACATATATGATCACACATACGCATGCCGTACCAATCCCGCCCTTGGTATTCTAAAGAGGGTACCGGTTGCTCTAGGTCGGCCTCGGTCTCATTCTTGTCTTCCCTAAACCCTAAACCCTAAACCCTAAACCCTAAACCCTAAACCCTAAATTTGTTGCCGCCGAGGCATCGTGCCGTTGGGAGGGGACACCCCTGAAGCGAGACCTCCGCGGGCCTCGCGAGCCCCGGCGGCTCCCCACAAGCCTGCCGCCAACGGGGAGGCCCACAAAGCTCCCACTTCCCTAAACCCTAAACCCTAAACCCTAAACCCTAAACCCTAAACCCTAAACCCTAAACCCTAAACCCTAAACTCTCAAGCAACCTGTAACCTTGCTGGGGTGTGATAATTTTATCCCATCTCTCCGTAGAGTGGGCAACCTTTAACCTTTTTGGGGTGTTATATTTTTCCCACTTAGTCCGAAAGGTCAACCTTAAGTTCCCCTAGGATACTGGACAACCAGGGCTTTCACGCACCTGCCACCCTCAGCCTCAGGCCCAAGTTTTAGGGGTTCAGGGTTTAGGGTTTAGGGTTTAGGGTTTAGGGTTTAGGGTTTAGGGTCCCCATCCGGCAGATATTCGTTTTATGGGGCGTCACATATCAGGGTGGGGACGGCTGCCTATCCGTACAGTGACGAGAAGCATGCTGGTCACTTCAGAGCGGCAGTGAGTTGAAACCTCTAGACCCTAAAATTCCTAGAAAGCCAACCCCCCCCCCCCTCCCCCCCCAAAAATTTTTTTAAAAGCACTAGAAACCTAAAACCCCCCCCAAAAAGGCCGTAGAAACTCCAAACCCCCTTAGAAACCCTACGAGCCCCCTAAACCCTAAACCCTAAACCCTAAACCCTAAACCCTAAACCCTAAACCCCCTAGAAGCCTTAAGAGGCCCTGGCTTCGGCAGAGCCCAACATGGACATCGGCTTCGAGGCTGCCCCCCCCCGCCTCCGCCTCCCTGTTTCGTGAGGGTTTAGGGTTTAGGGTTTAGGGTTTAGGGTTTAGGGTTTAGGGTTTAGGGTTTAGGGTTTAGGGTTTAGGGTTCAGGGTTTCGGGTTTCGGGTTTCGGGTTTCGGGTTTCGGGTTTCGGGCTTACTACTAGGGGCTGTGTAGCTAGAAAGCTTGCTTTGGGTTGTAAGGTCAAAAAAGTCTTCAGCCCCTAAGAAGTCGACAAAACCTTTGGCCCCTAAGAAGCGTAAATCCACCCTAAACCCTGAACCCTAAACCCGAAACCCTAAACCCAAACCCCAAACCCGAGCCAGTAGGTCCTGCGCGCGGCTGCGCGGGGGGCTGGCAGCCGCATGCAGGGTCAGGGGCAGCGCGGCGCCACCGCCATCGAAGGCTGGGGACTGGGTGTTCTTGTTAGGGTTGAGGGTTCAGGGTTCAGGGTTTAGGGTTTAGGGTTCAAGGTTTAGGGTTTTGGGTGAATATTACTAGGGACCCAGAGGAGGAGCCCTTAATCCATTTTTTGTTTTTGCTGGGGGGCGGGAGGTTCCTTTCAACCAAAAGGGGACCTTGCCCTTCTTATTCCTAGGTTACTCTTGGGTCCAGTGACTATTGTTCGGGCTCACGGACAAGCATGGCTTTGTGTCACGGTGTAATTTGTTAAAGGGCTTACTTACTTTGGGAATGTCGCTGGCTTGCAGCTTCTTGTGTTGGACGCTTGTAGCCAAGTGGTGGTTTCCGAAATTAGGGATACCTTATTGGTGTCCTTACTAGAAGGGAATCCCATGTTTTAGGGGGGTCTTAAATTCGGGTCCCTCATTTTCGGAAACCCCCAAGTTGCTTCGGTTATTGCCCTTAAACCCTAAACCCTAAACCCTAAACCCTCCCGCAGCTCACCTGTCAGGAGGCTTTGTGAGGGCGCTAAAGCCGCTGCCAGGTCTGGAGCCCAAGCGTGCATTGCGTTAGGGTTTAGGGGTTAGGGTTTAGGGTTTGGGGTTTAGGATTTTGGGTTTAGGGTTTAGGGAGATTGACATACTATTCCTGGGACCCTTTTTACCTACAGTTTTACGGGTTCTACCTACTAATTAAGGGTTTCTACTAAGTCGAGTCCCAGGTTTGCTTAAGAACCACCCGAAAAAGATATGAGATAATAGTCCCTGCAATAGTCTTATGAGGAAGAACATTTCCATCTTTTTGGGGGGTTTCTGAAGCAAACAGTAGAAACTTTGAGTCCCCAGCTCAGGATTGCGAATCTTGGGCCCCTGTGTTTTGCCTAGGCTCTTGCAAGATCTTCCGCCTGCAGTGCGCCCCCCAGTTGTGTTCCCCAGTTGTGTGCTCCGGGCTCCGCGTGGCTTGGGGTTTAGGGTTTAGGGTTTAGGGTTTAGGGTTTAGGGTTTAGGGTTTAGGGTTTAGGGTTTAGGGTGGCCCTGTCCCATTGCGCAGGCCAGGCATCTCTGCCGGTCAACCCACCCGAGACTACGGCACTTGGCAGGCCAACCATGCATGGTTGGCACACAGTAAACTCCAGAAAGTTGGAGCATGGTTTGAGGATGATTAGAGGTGAGATTCCCTTTAGTATACGTTTTGGGGTATAGGGGTTAATATGTTCCAACTTTTTGGAGTTTACTGTCGTGCCATGGTAGTGGGGACACGGGCACTGTTGGGGATATCTCGGGCTTCCTTTGCCCTGCAAGGTCAAGGAGTCGGCTGCATCAGCCTGACCGCGAGGGCCCGCCCGGGCCAGCGGAGTCATGTGCGGAAAACAAGCTTGCGGAACTCGCTTCCTCCGAGCGTGCTCAGTCGCCGGAAGTGCGCATGTTGCAGGGGGACATCGACAATGCTTGTGCATGGCCCAAACAGTTGCTTCAGCTGCACATGTAGGCTGCAGAATTATTGGGGGCTAGTTGTGGACATAAGCACTGACATCAGCTGCTTCGAAGCAACGGTTTCTTCAACAAACACAGTAATCCACACACACGCACACCAAACATGCTGATCTAGGCTGTACAGGGGGCCGTTGCTATGAGCGACGAAGATGAGACAGATCAGGTGAGCATCGAAGAGGACGAGGGGGAACAGGAAGCAAAGCCCGACGAGGAAGAGCAGGAGGAGCAGGAGGAGCAGGAAGCTCCCGAGGAGCAGGAAGCTCCCGAAGCGCAGGAGGCTCCCGAAGAGCAGGAAGCTCCAGAAGCGCAGGAAGATGAGCAGGATGAGCAGCAAGAAGAGCAGCAGGAAGAGCAGGAGGAAGAGCAGGAAGAGCAGGAGGAAGAGCAGCAGATGACAGACGTTGCAGATGGCTCCATGGCCACGCAGGGACGCCCAGCATGCTATTTGTTCGATTGCTGCGTCGTGAAGTCTAGGGTTCAGGGGGAACTCCTGTCGTGGCAAATCTGTTCATCTTGCATCCGGCAGGGAACTACCAGCCCCTTCACTGAGCCTGGTTCCTGGAGATGCAGTCAGGCGCTGCATGCCGTGTTGAACAGCGGCTAACAGCACTGAAGTTCCTGAAGCCTTTACCACCATTGGGCATCAAGATAGAGCCAGAGCCCCTATAAACCCTAAACCCCCAAACCCCCAAACCCCTAAATCCCCAAAACCCCAAACCCCCAAACCTCCAACCCCTTAAACGCGAGCGATGTGCCGTCGCAGGCTGAAGGATCTGCAGTCCGACACGTCAATGAATTCCCGGGTGGGCCGTTTCATCCGACTGGAGACCGAGGAAGACGGTGGACGCTTCCTGGTGGGCGCCCGAAGGGCCAAGGGGGCCTTTCTCTCTCTCTTTTTTTGTTTGAGGTTTAGGTGTTCCCCAAGATACAGGAGGGGTTCCGAGACTAAGGGATACAGAGTATTTTCGGGTTAAACTAGGGGGCCCACTTCTCAGCCAAGCTGAGCATTCCTGCTGCAGGTCGACCTGGGGCCGAAGGGCACCGTGCGCGTGCGTGAGGCAAACATCGAGAAGGCACGGTATTGAGCAGGGTTTAGGGTTTAGGGTTTAGGGCACGGTGATGGCACGTGTATTTTGAACAGGTTGATGAATCTACTCGGAAGAGCGCGCGCCCGCCGCTGAGTCATGCTGTGTCCCTCTTGAGTAGCTTTGGACAACTGGAACTCTACGAATTTCGGGGACCCCTAAAATGGACCCCAATTATCGTAAGATTCCCTTCAATAAGGACCCCACGAAATTACCCCGAATTTCGTGAACCCCCAAATCTATAAACCCTAAACCCTAAACCCTAAACCCTAAACCCACCGGCACACCCAGGTCTGGCGCAAGCAAGACAAACCGGCAGGCGGAAGCCGGCGACGCCAGCAGCCCGTGCTACGTTCGGGTAGTTTCCTAAATTAGGGTCCTTATTCGGGGTACCCATTAAAGGGATCTCAAAAAGGGACCCTAATTTAGAGAACTACCTATGTGCAGAATTGCAGGGAGTTTGGAGAAGGACATGTCCTTCATGCGGAGCCTCAGGCCAAAGAAGTCCGCTCGTGGAAAGGCAAGATTGATTGATTAAACTCCGTGAGACGACTGAGTGGCTATGTTGGTCTGTGTTGCTATATGTTTCTCTGTCTGCTTGGCAGAGAGAGAGAGAGAGAGGGAGTCAGAGGGACAGAGACAAACCCAGCGAAACGAGAGGGTCAGAGAGGATCGGAGAGGACCAGAGAGGATCAGAGAGGATCAGAGAGGATCAGAGAGGATCAGAGAGGATCAGAGAGGATCAGAGAGGATCAGAGAGGATCAGAGAGGATCAGAGAGGATCAGAGAGGATCAGGAGAGGATCAGGAAAGGATCAGGAGAGGATCAGAGAGGATCAAAGAGAGGGAGACAGAGAGAGAGAGAGAGAGAGACGTCCCCCGCCATACCCCCATGACCTAGAAGAGTTTCTCAACCCAGCAACAGCCACACCGAAGTTGGTTTAGGGATTTGGGGGTTTGGGCTTAAGGTTTTCTCTCGACCAGACATGTGCAGCTTTCTGCCTGCCTTCAATGGAACACGCCCCGTGCTTGGCTTCGCTGGGCAGACTTGGTATCGCCGCTAGAGTTATACTGGGAGTCCCCTAAACCCTAAACCCTAAACCCTAAACCCTAAACCCTAAACCCTAAACCCTAAACCCCTAACCCTAAACCTTAAACCCCAACGCGACCGTCTCTATCATCTGCGGAGAAAGAGGCCGTTTGTCATCCACGTCTTGGTTGCAGCCCAAAAATCCAAACCCGAATCCCTGGACTACAATTTCATAAGAACCACCCCCCAAGAAAAAATGCATAAATAAAAGGAAAAAGAACGAAGATTCCTGAAAAGGGGAATTTAGGGATTACCATCTTGCATACTTTTTGGGGGGATCGCACTTTTTCTACTACCATTACTATTACCATTACTTCTACTATTACTATGACCATTAGTTGGCGTCTAGGGTTTAGGGTTTAGGGTTTAGGGTTTAGGGTTTAGGGTTTAGGGTTTAGGGCGCAGGCCAAAGCCGAGCCGAAAGCTCCAAAGCCGACGGCCGTCAAGAAAGGCAGCGGCTTCTCTGAGAGTGGCACTCTGAAAAGAGCCCCCGAGAGTACCCCTCACTTAGGGGGGTTTAGGGTTTAGGGGTTTAGGGTTTAGGGCTAGGGTTTAGGGTTTAGGATTTAGGATCTAGGATTTAGGGCCCGAGAATGCCTTGGGATGTTGCCGCTTATACTCACAGTCCTCAATCGGGATTAAGGTATCCCCTACTATCATCCCTGTTAAGGACTGCTAGTATAAGGGGGAACATCTCAAAGAATACTCCTTACCTAGGGGTTTTCCGTTTTAGGGTTTAGGGTCTCAGGGTTTAGGGATCGTGTACCTTAAATCAGAGTCAGGATGCCCCCACATGGTTTAGTACTAGCACTTGGATCCCTCAATTAAAGGGTACCTTGGGGCTCTGAGAATGGAAGTTCGATGCAGGCCCCCAAACCCCAAACCCTAAACCCTAAACCCTAAACCCTAAATCTGAGAGACGGTCGGCTCGTGCCACCAAGGCACCAAAAACGCCAGCGCAGCGAAAGGGAAGACAGCGGCTGCGACAGGACGTCCACGGAGCCCTATAACCCTATTTCCCTATAGCCCTATAAAGGGTTTAGGGTTTAGGGTTTTTCAGGGTTCAGGGTTTAGGGTTTAGGGTTTAGGGTTTGGGTTTAGGAGCCCTATATGCCCTATAACCCTACAACCCTAGAACCCTATAACCTACAGCCCTATAGCCCTGTAACCCTCTAGCCCGAAAACCCTATGAGCCCTAAACCCTACCATTGGGAGCCGAGGATCCCTAAACCAAGAAATCTGCCATAAACCATGTGGGGTGCCTGATGAAGAGTTACAAGGATTTTTCCTTCACTTCCGGTTTCGGGCTTCGGGTTTAGGGTTTCGGGAGCATGTGTGTAGTGCATGTCGGACAAGAACTGACTGATGCCGGTCTCAGTGCGCATGGTGGAGTTTTAGCAGGTTGGCCCTATAGCTGCTATCAGATGGGGCTATCAGCTGCCATGAATCCTAGAAGCCAACCGCATAACATGAATCTTCGACATCAGTAGTGGCGTGGCACAAGATCTTTCCCTGCGGGCCTCTTCTTGTGTGCTGCACGCGTATTGGTTGAGTAGCTTGGGTTGCTGTGGTTTTCAGAGTCCTTTGTCAGCTCATTTGGGCAGATTTCGCTATGATTCGGCTTTGAAGATCTTCCTGACGGCCCGAATCAGGCCAAAACCCCAAACCGCCCTGTGCCCCCTTGAAAAGTTTAGCCGGGCACCAATTCCGAATCGCAAGCCATTCGTGGGATGCCAAGGGAGACCCTGTGAGCTGAAAGGGAAGCCCAAGCTTAAGCATGGGTTTAGGGTTTCAGCTTTAAACCCTAAACCCTAAACCCAGTCGCTTCAACCGGCCTTCGTAGCCCTTCCTAGTCTCTTATGATGAGGGTTGCATGGGGGGGCGACCGCCCCGCCCCCCCCCCCCCTCCCCGTGAGATGCCCTAGGCCAAATAACGCCTCGTCCCTAAAACTTAGACCCCGAAAATCCCTATAAACCCTAAACCCTAAACCCTAAACTACAAACCCTAAACCCTAAACCCATAAGCCCGACTGAAGCTGAGAAGGAAAGAACTCGCAAGCCGAGTCAACGACTCTGTTCATGGTGTCTGGTCCTCAGGCTGCCAGCTGCCGGTGGGTTTCGGGTAGCTCGAAACCCCAAACCCTAAACCCTAAACCCCAAACCCCAAACCCCAAACCCTAAACCCTAAACCCCAAACCCCAAACCCTAAACCCTAATTTGAGACGGGCCCGAATCCCTTAATGCGGCAATCTGCTGCTACACGTAGCTGCTTTATCTGGCATCGCTTGACGCATCGATCGGCGTCTGCATTGGAGAACTGCCTTCCCGAGAGTATACTTAAATCCTAAACCCTAAACCCGAAACCCTAAACCCTAAACCCCCAACCCTAAACCCTAAACCCTAAACCCTAGACCCTAAACATACTAAATTGGGGAGCTGCCTTCCCCAGATATCTCCTGATGTGTCGAAGGTCGGACTCGCCCTCATGTACACAGCGTGCACATGGCCTTTTTGCATGTCGAGTTTGTGCTTACATGAAAACAGGGTTCCCCAATTTAGGGTTTAGGATTTAGGGTTTAGGGTCATATTTCTGTTTTTGGTGAGTGTATATAAGGCTCCTTGTTAAATATTGGTGAGTGTATATACCTGGTGTCCTTTTGGGGGTACAAGAAATATAAACCCTACTTCAATATGAAAACAGGACGTAGAATTCAAAAGCAAGTCAACAGTCCGTTCGTATCTTTGTGACTGCTTGCTGTGTTCGCTTGTAGGTAGAGAACCCTAAACCCTAAACCCTAAACCCTAAACCCTAAACGATTTATTTTAGGGTAAGCACGCCTGCGGCTTCTAAGGAACGAGTATCGTATCCGCTCCGACCCCTCCCTGGAGGCCTCAAAGCTTTTTCAGGTGTTTTTGTGGTTTCTTCGGTGTTTAGGGTTTAGGGTTTAGGGTTTAGGGTTTGGGGTTTAGGGTTTAGGGTTTAGTGAGGGTTTAGGTTTTGCTGTGTGCGTGAGCACCCCCCCCCCCCCCCCCCCAGAAGCCCTTTTCTTGACGGGCAAACCCGAAACCCTAAACCATGGGCCCCCTCATCCCTACCTGAGGGAACCTGAAGTTGACTGCTGTGCAGGAGGTCTAAGCGTCCTGAAAGGTGACATGGGGTGATTCTCTGACATGGAAGGTCCCTTTTGGGGTTCCTTTTTCTGAGAAGGTGGCGTGCAAAACGGACCCATAAGAAGGGACCCGCAGAGAGTTCCCCACAGCGCTCCTCTCTCTGCGAAAGCATTGGCCTTCATGGATGTTCATCTGGCTTCATCAAACCTCTAGGGTTTGGGTTTAAGCCCTAAACCCTAGACCCTAAACCCTATGAAGGAACAAAGCCGCTACAGCTTGATAGGAGGCTTAGTGGAGGCCCAAAAAGCCGCCCTCCTGCGCAAAGCCTGCCCAAAGCATCCTCCGACAGCTTTCCCCAAAAGCTTCCCCAAGCCCCTGTGGGCAATCCCGAAGCAGGGAAAATTGGTGGGTTTTCCGAAACAGGGGGGCATACACCCGCTTTAGGGGGTTCCTTCTAGTAATGTTACAGTATGTATGCTAGGGTATAGTTGGGGTATCCCTATTGCGGGAGACAGCCATATCCAAAGGGTATATGGGCGACACAAGGTCGCCCCAGGTGGGATGATGTGAGCTTAAGTCTGGGAGCGGGAGCCCTGGTCCGGGTTGTTGGTTTTTTTTTTTCAGCGTCCGGTTTGGGAAATAGCCCTACCCACCCTGCTGCAAGAACACGAAGCCCTGTTCGTGGGCATGTGACCAAAGAATACTATAAAGGGGCTGCGAATGTATGATCTGCAACAGTGCGTTCTGGGCCCCAAACCCCAAACCCCAAACCCCAAACCCGAAACCCCAAACCCCAAACCCCAAACCCTAAACCCTAAACCCTAAACCCTCGAGAGCGCCGCTGTCCATATGCATGGGCGCTCGAGGCTTCGACCGAGGTCCCCGACCGAGCGTCTCCACAGAACGGTGAGGGAGGGTAAAGCCTCCCGGTAGACGAGACGGCAGTGACTGGCTACGCCTCAGACCTAGGGCGTCAGCCCTTTTTTATTAGGACCCCAAACCCCCCTACGACCCCCTGAAATTTTGGGACCCCCTGAAACCCTCCTGGGACTCCCTGGGACCCCCTGGGACCCCCCCAAAACCCCTGTCAAACCCCATACTATCTGGAACCCCCCCCGGGACCCGCAGGATTTGCCCAGACCCGTAAGAAAATGTGGGTTTTTTAGTATTGCAAATCGACGGTTTTGGGCACCCTCCATTTTAAAAAGCAGGGGCCGGCCGAGGCCCCTGCTACCCCCGACCGTTTTTGCTGCCCTTTCAAGCCCGAAAATGTGGGTTTTTGGTATTGCAATTGACGGTTTTGGGCACCTTCCATTTTACTCCGTGAAAGCTCCATACGAGCTACAGACAGGCTCCATGAAGCTCGGGAGACCCCGCCCTGCTCTTTCTCTGCAAAAAGCAAGAAAGCCCCCCTTGAGGGGGGTTTGGGGGGTGAACCCTAAACCCTAAATGAGAATAGTTTGGGTGGTTGGGGTGGGACTACATGCTAACGCAAGCGAGCGGCCCGGGTGCTTTTAGCACCAGCGAGCTTCCCTTCTATACACCCTAAACCCTAACCCTCAACCCTCAACCCTCAACCCTCAACCCTCAACCCTCAACCCTCAACCCTCAACCCTCAACCCTCAACCCTCAACCCTCAACCCTCAACCCTCAACCCTCAACCCTAACCCTAAACCGTAAACCCTGTGTAAAAAGAGAGGTCCAGGACTCCTCCTCAAAGTGGAGGCCATGCCACCTCTACGAGCGTGCCAACCCCAGCGCAGGGGGGAGGGGTATATTTTATTGTACTGTATTGGATGTTGGGGACCCCTTAGGGTTTAGGGTTTAGGGTTAGGGTTTAGGGTTTCTAGAATATGGGGGGTTTACGAAAATAGGGGACCCCTAAAACTTAGACCCCCCAATAGTCTTGGAGGCTATGTTGGGGCTATGTTGGAGGGCCTTGGAGGGTCTTGGAGGCTATGTTGGAGGGTCTTGGATGCTATGTTGGAGGGTCTTGGAGGCTATGTTGGGGCTATGTCGGAGGGTCTTGGAGGGTCTTGGAAGCTATGTTGGAGGGTCATGGAGGCTTTGTTGGAGGGTCTTAGGGTACCCTAAAGCCTAAACTAAACCCAAGACCCTAAAGAAACCCAACCCCAAAACCCTGAACTGCCCTGAATTAGGGTTTAGGGTTTAGGGTTTAATCATGTCATGCCACCAGTCCACCATTCAGTTGCTCAGTCCTTCTGGGGCGACTGGTACCAGATGAAGGACACCTGGGGCAGGAGTTGGAAGCAGATGGTGGACACCTGTGGCAGCAGCTGGACTTCAAGTCATTGGGAACAATGCCGATTGACTGTGAATCATCCGGGTCCTTCCGATTCCAGGGCATCCTCTTGCCCACCCGGCCGGGGGGCTGGGCAAGAAGTGGTTTAGGGGGGGGGTCAGCCCAGCCCAGACCCCCAGCCCCCCAGCCCCCCAGCCCCCCAGCCCCCCAGCCCCCCACCCCCCCAGCCCCCCTAGCCCCCAGCCCCCAGCCCCCCCAGCCCCAGCCCCAGCCAGCCAGCCCCTTTATTACCCCCCCCCCCGCTTAGTGAGCAAGACAAGGCCCTTGCAGCCGGAAGGACCCCGAATCCCGGAGGGGGGGGGGGGGGGGCAGCAACTGGCCAGGCAGCCTGAAGGCCATCAGGACAGAAAGCTGCTGCAGTCCTTCAAAGAACAGAAGAGCAAGCTGGAGCTCCAGAGGCATGAGGACCAAGGGACGATCCAAGAACGACGAGAAGGAGCCGAAGAAAGAAGACAACTGGTGGAATGGTGGTGGAGCATGACATGACTCCTAAACCCTAAACCCTAAACCCTAATTCAGGGCAGTTCAGGGTTTTGTATTTTTTTTTAGTCCTTATGGCTTATCTGAACTCGGGTAAACCCTTAACCCTAAACCCCCCAAGAGCCTCCAAGGAGCCTCCACCAGGCTCCAACATAGCCTCCCAGGCCCTCCAACCCAGGTTTTGGAGCCTATGTTGGAAGGTCTTGGAGGCTATGCTGGAGCAACCCCGAAACCCTTACAACCCGGACCCGAACCCCTGAACCCCCCTAACCCATAAGGGTTTGGGGGATCTTCTGTTTTAAACCCTAAACCTCCTAAACCCCTAAACCCCTAAACCCTTGAAGCTGTCCGCGCCTTGTAGCGTTGCGCTTCGTATGTGCTTGGATCGCACATCATGTATGCGCCCCTTTTCGTCATTTTCCATGAAAGTGTAGTCATTACGTTTAAAGGGGTTTAGGGCTTAGGGTTTAGGATTTAGGGCCAGAAGCATTTATCTTTCGCCTGCAGACTTCGGGGACGGCCGCATCGTGATCTGGTACGGTGGCAACGAGCCCGCGTCCCGGATCCCTCCGCAAGGTCCTGGAGAACCAAAGGAACCCCAAAAGTGGGATCAGCTGCGCAACGGTAGGTCTCCAAATGAAGGTCTTTTCTTGGGTCCTACATAAAGTCCGGCACTCTTCAGAGATGGACCCCAAAAAGGGACCCTAATAGAGAACTGTGTATTCCGACACGTCTTTGCTGTTTGTGAGCTCCCGCTCTCTTCCTTGGACTACTTGCTTGGCTTAGAGTCCATGTACCCTAGAAGGTTTAGGGTTTGGGGTTTAGGGGATTCTAGCAGGTGACTCTTAATATGTGGTCGACGCAATCTCAAGTAGACGGAAATTCTGACACGAAAGATTGCACAGACCTTACACCCTAAAGGCCCTAAACCCTAACTTCCCGCTTAGGCTGTAGCAACCCTTTCCTAGGCCAGAACGAGAAGGAGTAAAGTGAGTGGACCCTTGCGTAGCGGGGGGTGGGAATAAAGGAGCCAACACGCCACTCTGGGCTGTTGGTATCTTAGTCAGCATGCATTGGCGACACACGTCGCCCCTGGCCACCCCAAACCCTAAACCCCTTGTCCTGCGCTCATGTTTTAATCCCTAATAATACCCTAGTCCGGCCCGTGAACCCACCCTGAGCCCTACACCAAAAGTTTGGGGTTTAGGCTTTAGGAACCCCCTCCCCCCGCCCCCCCCTCCCCCCCCCCCCCCCCCCCCCCCCCCCCCCCCCCCCACGATCATGTGTGAGGTACGAGGGTTTGGGAGGCAAGCCGTACAAGCTGAAGGGCGTGAGCCGGGGCACCTGGGAGTGGAGACCATTTAGGGTTAGGGTTTAGGGTTTAGGGCTTAGGGCTTAGGGCTTAGGGCTTAGGGCTTAGGGTTTAGGGTTTAGGGTTTAGGGTTGGGGGTTGGGGGTTTGGGGGTTTGGGGTTTGGGGTTCAGGGCCATGCCACAGCATGGGTGGGGGTTGCGGGGGTAACTGATGGTCCTTTCGTTGAGGAATGAGGTTGAGTATAATTCTTACAGCTTCTGCTCTAGCAGAGTCGCTGCGAGTTCATAAGGTACATATACATGTACATGTACATATACATATGTACATATCTATATATATATATATATATATATATCAAGCCCTATATAGCCTCTTGGGTGCACCAGCATCTTCCCCCTCCCTCCCCTCCCCGGGCTAGGCTTGAGGGCCTTAGGGTTGATGATTGGGGGTTTAGAGTTGAGGATTGAGGGTTTAGGGTTTAGGGTTTAGGGTTTTAGGCTTTGGCCTCTCACCCCCCCCCCCCCCCCCCCCTGTCGTTCGTGGTGGATTTCAAGGGTTGAGGCGGGCGTGGGGGAGGGTGGGGCACCGTTCTCGTTGGACTTGAGCAGCTGAACCCTAAACCCTAAATCCGAAATCCTAAACCCTAAGCCCTAAACCCTAAATCCGAAACCCTAAACCCCAAACCCTAAACCCTAAACCCGAAGCTTCTGAGGCGAAGGGAGCATCTTCAAGGGCCAGCCTGGCCAGCTTCTGGACTCGGATGGAGAGTGCCCTGGCATTTGGGGTTTAGGGTTTTGGGGTTTAGGGTTTAGGGTTTAGGGTTTAGGGTTTAGGGTTTAGGGTTTAGGGTTCAGCATCTCAAGTTCGAGCATTTACTCGGCCAGCAGTGTGTGTAGGTTGGGAGGTTACCCATTATACTACCAATCCTTACTCATAGGAGTACTCTCATATACCCCCCCCCCCCCCTGAGAATCCGATTGAAGGACTGCTAGTATAAGGGGGAACATCCCAAGGTAGAGGTTTAGGGTTTAGGGTTAGGGTTTAGGGTTTAGGGTTTAGGGTTTAGGGTTTAGGGTTTAGGGTTTAGGGTTTAGGGTTTAGGGTTTAGGGTTTAGGGTTTGTTTTTGAGTTCTTCCTCCTGCATCTTCCTGCCCCCCCCCCCCCCCCCCCCCCCCCCCCCCCCCCCCCCCGCTGTTTGTCCCTTTTTGCGGGCTCCTTTGCAGCGCCGAGGCGAATTCCGACCCGAAAGAGGCCAATGCGCTGACGCCGGTGCGGATGCGCGCAACACGCTTCCTGCAAGATATCTGCACTGATGATCCTCCTCGCGCCACCTGGTGCCCGGGGTGAAGCGCCTGTGGTCAGTGAAGGGGGCCTCCAGTTGTACAGCTTAAAATTGAAGTTCACACTTGCAGCGTCGCAGGACGCGCAGAGTGTGCCACAAGTGCCGAATGCACCGCTGTGCGTCGTCAAGCGTGGAAATGCAGAATGGGGGGGGCCATCTCTGAGGAGCCCTTTCTGGTACGTTTGAAGTCAGACTCTCGACAAGAGGTCTTATTTGCAAGGGGCTGAGGGCTGGAGGGCTTAGGGCGTCGGGCTTAGGGTTTAGGGTTTCGGGCTGGAGGGTTGAGGGCTGGAGGGATGAAGAGCCGCCTGGAGGGCTGGAGGTGGGCCGGAGGGTGCGGTTCTCTGGACATGTGCTCCAGACCTGGAAGGTCAAAGCACAAGGGGCTTAAAGTAACCCCTTGGGTAACTGGCTGTTGAAGTGGGAGGGCGCAATCACTTTTGGGAGACGATCGAGATCCTCAATATACATGTTTTTTCAGCTTCATAAACTTTCTGAGCACATATTCCACCGTAGTTCAACTTCCCAGACACTGCTGACCCGGCGCAGGTGGACCCAGGGTCCTCAAGACACACAGAATGCTCAGGCTCGACCGGAATCGGAATCAGCGTCCGAAATTTTGAAATTTGTGAGTCGTGGCTGTCAGAAGCCGGGCTTAGGGCCGTTTAGGGGGCGTTTAGGGGTCTAGGGTTTACGGTTTGGGGGGAAGCCACTATAGCTATCATTGGTCTTGTTACGATACTTGATGACGCTGGCGACTGACTAGGAATATTGGCTTAGTTAGACTTTGCTCATTGGATTGCGTGTAGCAAGCTGCGGAGGTGCGTGAGCCCTTACAACCCAAGTGCGACTCTACGTATGACCCAACTTCTTATCCCCCCCCATTAAGTCCCTTGATATGTGTACTTTGCGGTTACAAGCGGCGTTGCATGTAGCACTTGAGGATTCTGTGAACCTGCTCTTGTAGTTGACATCAGAGCCCGCGGCTCTCACGGGATCCTACGCCCTAAACCCTAAGCCCAGGGTGTCCCTTGCTCCTCCCCAGGAATATCGACGGCAGCACGAGATGAAGGTCTGGGCCTCAGTCTTCACCGGTATTCCTACTGCACTCGAGCCGTGTGATTCCTTTCTGGGTTTAGGGTTTAGGGTTTGGGGGATGGGGTTGAGGGTTTAGGGGTCAGGGTTTAGAGTTCGGGGGGTTCCCTAACTTGCAAAAGCTCTCCACCCTTTCGGACCCCATCGATTTTCTACTTGCCCTGCACGAAATCCAAACATGTATAGTAAGGGGTTTTGGGCTTGTAGGATTTCTGGGATTTGAACCGAGCCGCCCAAAGCTGCCCAACGCCTTCTCTCATGGTAGGGCTCCCGAAACCCTAAACCCTCAACCGCAGGGTTTAGGGTTTAGGGTTTAGGGTTTAGGGTTTAGGGTGCAGGTGATCAGCACCTTCAGCGGAAACGTGCCGACTCCCATCCGGGACTTCACAGCCTGGCGCTCAAAGAGCGGTATCGACGTGCCGGTGGGGTTGAGGGCTGAGGGTTTAGGGGTTAGGGATGTTTAGGGTTTGTTACTCTCATTTTCTCATGTGCTGACATGTTCATTACGAGCACGGGATTTGTCTGCAGTAGCCAGAGGGTGTGTGGCAGAGAATGACACGCTCACCCCAGAAGCCCTCTAAACTGTCCTCAACCTCTTAGGTTAGTTGCGTGGTCCGGAGATTAACCCACTGGCTCTGTTCTTTCACACAAGCTGGCAATGACCAGTCATGGACTCGCAAATCAGACAATCGGGAGCTTCGGTGTCGCACTGCGCAGGCCCGAGGTTCCCCCCCACACAACGGTAAAGGTTAGTTGCGTGGTCTGAAATGGAGTCCCTTATATACCCCCTTATATATCCTATACAACCCAAGGGCCCATACTTCAGAACCCTTGAATAAAGAAGGTAAGGGACCATATTAAGGGCCCACGAAACTGAGACAACCACCCGAAGCTTTGCCCCTACACCACCCCCTAAACTCTGCCCGACACCACCCCCCCTCTACACCCGGTTTGTTTAGGGTTTAGGGTTTAGGGTTTAGGGTTTAGGGTTAGGGTTTAGGGTTTGCGGTTTGCGGTTTAGGGTTTAGGGTTTAGGGTTTAGGGTGGTTCACAGGCTGCTGGCTTGCCAGCCAAAGTCCTGGAGGAGATCCAGGAAGCCAAGTTCCGGGAACCCACTCCCATTCAGGCGGGTGTAGGGTTTAGGGTTCAGGGTTTAGGGTTTGGGGGGGGGGGGGGGGGGGGGGGGGGAGCTGCCGCAGCCTTCCTCTAGCCTCCTAGGGTTTAGGGTTTAGGGCTTAGGGCCTAGGGCTTAGGGCTTAGGGTTTAGGGTTTAGGGTTTGGGGCTTAGGGTTTAGGGTTTAGGAACATCTGAAATGCACATTTAAGACCCAGGGAACATCTGAAATACCATATGTCGACTATGCGGTTCTGAAGGCTAAGAGGACCCGTCCTAAATAGCCGCAACCTAGGACCTAGCCTCCCCTTAGAAGTTCATGTAAACCCTTAACCCTAAACCCAAAACCCTAAACCCTAAACCCTAAACCCTAAACCCTATACCTAATCATTAGAGGATCTTGGACATTGAAATTGTGTTAACAGCACAGGAGTTCTTGGGTCCCTGCGACCCTTACCCTAAAGCCCTTAAAGTCAAACGGCCCTAAAGACCCTAAAAAGGCCCTAAATCCCCCAAGGGGCCGACACCCAGGCGCAGTGCTGGCCCATCCTGGGGTCTGGTCATGACCTGATTGGCATTGCCAAGAGTGGGAGTGGCAAGACTCTTGCGCCGGCACCCCAAATGGTTTAGGGTTTAGGGTTTAGGGTTTTAGGGGTTTAGGGGTTTAGGGTTTAGGGTTTAGGGTTTAGGGTTTCCAAAATTCGGGGTGCCTTCTTGGGGTCCGTTGTTGTAAGGGGATCCTACTATTATTGGGGATCTATATTAGGGGTCCCTCATTTTGGTAAAACCACCGAATATGGGGCTTCGTAGGGTTTGTGCAGGGTTTTGCAGGCTTTCGTAGGGTTTTGAAGGATTTATCGGGGTTTATAGGGTTCTATCGGGAGGGCTTTATCGGGTTTGGTTATAGGTTGTGTAGGGTTTGGAACTGTACGGTATTTGACATGAAGCGGCAAAGCTGTACGCCCCCCTCGTGTGTGATGTGCCCCCAGCGACCCCTGAACTACTCACGTGCCGCATCTACACCCCTGCGCAGAGGGTGTCCATGTGCCGCAGTGCGCTCGTCGGCTTCGCAGCGTTGGGCCTGTGACATGCTGTGATCTTCCGGCCTTCAAGCGCCTGAGCGCCATGGACTGCCTGCCCCAGCGACCCCCGGGCCGCATCATCCGGCAGGTCCCGCAGATTGAGGAGGCTGCCGCCAGGCTAAAGGAGCTGCAGGAGACGGATGAGGTGGAAGCCGCGCAGTCCTTGCTGGTCCGCATGGTGAGCATCGATGAGGCAAGCTTCTGCAGCGTCTTCCCCCATGCTCAGCCCGAAACCCTGCAAATGCCGGACATCATGGGCAGGACCTTGCTTCACTATGCGGCTGCCCTCGGTAAGCTGAGTGCGCTCTCGCTTCTGCTGGCGTCAGATGCGGTGGACCCAAACGCCCGTGATGATGTGGGCGATACCCCGCTGCATCTAGCCGCAGGCAACGGAGAGCGTGGAACCTGTGAGTTGCTCTTGGGCCACCCGCGCGTTGACCGGACGGTGCAGGATGATCTCGGGAGAACGGCGCTGGACGTCGCCCACTCGGCAGCAGCCCACTACTTTGCAACAGAGGCCGTGCACGCCCTGGCCAGAAAAGCTCTGGCCATCTGAGCAGCGCCAGCAGCACAGCTCTCTTCCTTCTCACGCAACAGACAACACTATATCTCCCTTGGGAATTTTTTGTTCATATAGAACCCAAAAGAGGATATTCAAAATTATACTGTTATCAAGGTTCAAAGGGGAGTATAGAACCGACTTGCCAAACGTTTCACCCCCCGCGGCGACGGTTTTCAGAGTGCGGCTGCGAGCCTGCACGCTCCAAAGTCCAATTTTTTGTGCCTCAGCCCGGCTGCCCAAGCTAATAGAGGAGGGGTTTAGGGTTTAGGGTTTAGGGTTTAGGGTTAATAGTTGGAATATATATGTATATATATATATATGTTTTTAAAAAAACAATTGCGGGGGCATTGTGAGCATAATTATGCAGGGACCATACGAGAATATTCTTAGTGTTCTAGTCTTTTGTGCTGGTTTGCTGGGCCCATGCTCATGTTGCTCGGCGGGGACCATGCGACCATACTCGTGATGGTGCGAAGAAGAGGTGTTTCAAGCTTGTGCGGAATCCGATGAAGGATTGGTTTGTACCTCTAGCCACAAGTCCGAGGAGACCCGAGCACTGCTGTCTGAGACCGAAGCCCAAAGCCCCCCTAAACTAAACCCTAAACCCCAAACCCCAACCCGAAACCCTAAACCCTGAACCCCTAAACCCCTAAACCCGAAACCCCAAACCCTAAACCCTAAACCCTGAACTCTGAACCCTGAACCCTGAACCCTGAACCCTAAACCCTGAACCCAGAACCCTGAACCCAGCCCCTTGCTTGTGCTCAAGGTTCCTGGGTCCTGGCTTTGCGCAGATCCTCCGCAGCAGCGCCGATGTACATAAAGGGCCCATGGTGCCGAACCGCCCGGGCATCTCCATAGGGTTTAGGGTTAAGGCTTTGGGGTTTAGGGTTTAAATCAGGGTTCAGGGTTTAGGGCATGCGACCTGGAGGCTTTTGCTCACACCTCGGGTCAGGATCGATCTAGACCTTAACTAGGTAGGCCCTTAGGACACTTTCTAGTTTCCTTTCTTGGGTTTAAGAGGTTCTAAAGTCCGACCTAGTCAAACCCTCCCTAGTCACGTGGCGCAGCGGCCGGCAGCTCTGGCTCAAGGATGCACGTGTCACACACCAAAAGACATAGAAAGATAACAATCCCTACAGTACCCTTATAAGGAAGAGTATGTTTCTCTGCTTTTCTAAAGCAGTTGGTAGTAAGTCCACCGCCGGGCTCCTACGCTTCCCCAGCATCCTCAAAAGCCAAGAACCCCAAACCTACTTTATTGTTAGGAGGTCTTAGTGTGGTAAGTTGTATATTTCTACAGTCCCTGAAGAGGACGAGGATTCTTGGGCACAAGCAGGTAACCTACGAAGAGCATGGTTTGGGTAAGGACTGCAGTAGCGCAAGAGGGCGCATGAAGTTCTCCAAGCTCCTGGATGAATATCAGCTTCCGGAGTGGCGAGGGCCAAGTCCTCAGGCAGCCCCAATGCCCCCACGGCTGTTGCCGCGACTGCAGGCCGCACGCAGCTGTGTATTCCCCAGCGTAGAATTACAAGACATTGCTTGCAGACTGATAGTAAAAGAGAATGGCAGTCGTTTTAGTCGCAGTCGTCGCCGTACTGGTGCTAGTGGGCGTGGGAGTGGGAGTCGTCATAGTAATGGCAATAGCAATAGGAATAGTAAAAAATCAAAAATAGTAAGAGTAAAAGTGAGAGTAATAGAAATTTCGTGATAGTGATAGTAGTGGTAATGGTAATAGTAATAGTCATAGTAATAGTAATAGTAACAGCCATAGCAATTCTATATAATGTTAATTTTAATTGTAATCGCATCAACGACAACAACGACAACCCCAAACAAATCCAGCCACAGCCACAGCAGCAGCAGCAGCAGCAGCAGCAGCAGCAGCAGCAGCAGCAGCAGCAGCAGCAGCAGCAGCAGCAGCAGCAGCAGCAGCAGCAGCAGCAACAGCAACACTGCCCGTAAGCATAAACGCGAGGTTCGTAGGCCATAGTAGAAATACCAATACGAAGACACATGCTGATGCTGATCGTAACATGATACGTATGATTGCACATATGCGAATGCTCAGGCGATAAAACTAGCGCGACTACAACACGAACACAAGAACTCAAATGCTAATTATCATACTACTTCAAGTACCTGTAGATTCTTTGCGGTGCCCATTGGGGAGTCAAGCTTCTGGTCAGCTGAGGACCTACATACCCTACTATTTTCTCAAAAAGCCAGGGGCCCAGCATCAGGACACATGAAGCAGGGTTTATATTATTACTGTTATTGGTGAGTGCATTTATGGTTCCTTTTAAATTGGTGAGTGTATATGTTGGTTGTCCTTTTGGGGATACAAGAAATATAAACCCCACTTCATAGCAGGACACAGGTTTCGGGTTTGCGGCTTGGGGTTCAGGGTTTAGGGTTTAGGGTTTAGGGTTTAGGGTTTAGGGTTTAGGGTTTAGGGTTTGGGGTTTCGTCGCCAACTTATTTTCAGCCACAGCTGCCGTATTTTCCATGCGCAGCAAGCCCAAGCTTAGACTTTGAGAGGGGACTGTTGTGAGGCGGAGTTTTTTTGAATGTGATGCAGTGTTTTGGATGAAGTTGATTTTGTTGCGAGTGCAAAGCAGATGTACGAGGGTTTAGGGTTATAACGCCGACGGTATAAATGCCCTGACCTTAGGTGCATCAGGTTTAGACATTAAAACCTTTAAGCCTTATAAGGCTTTTAAAGGTTGAATTAAATCCAGGTTTGGACATTCAACCTAGGTTAAACCTTAAACCCTATAGTGCAGCCCTATAGGGTTTAAACCCTATAAGAGGCTAAAGGTTTAGAGTTTAAGGTTTAGGGCATTGCAAAAACGTAACCCTAGACCCTCAGGGATTTAATCACTTTACTGTTTTCCTTAAGCCTGAAAGCATATAGTTTTTGGGTTTAGGGTTATAACGCTAAACTCTATAGGATAAGAACCTTATAACCCTATATGGGGTTGTATAAAAACCCCGAGTTAAATCTATTCATCCGTCCCAGGGTTATCGTTTCATTTTCTTGATTATCGTTTTACAGAGTTTGCTGGAAGAACCAACAATTTGGAACCGATGTTCCCGTGAGCGGGCTGGGTTTTCATTGATTTGTTGTACAAGCTTAGTACTGAAACCGGCTAGGTTTCCGTTGATTTGTAGTGCAAGCTGAGAAGGCTGGGTTTTCAGTGTTTTCATGTATTTGTAGTACAAGCTTATCACTGGAATAGCGCCTGCCCGCCCTGTTACTACAAAGTTATCGGTTTATTTTCTTGATTATCGTTTTACGAGTCAGAAGCACTGCCCCAAACGCTTCGGGCAATTCCTTTCAAAATCGACTGCGCGGGGTTTTGATACAACCCCATATTATAGGCCTTGAGACTTAAACCCTCCTGTTTACCTTAAGCTTTACAGCAGATAGGGTTTAGGGTTATAACGCTGAAGGTATAAATGCCCACACCTTAGGTACATCAGGTTTAGGCATTAAAGCATTTAAGCCCTATAAGGTTTTTAAAGGTTTGACCCTATAGGATTTAAACCCTGTAAGAGGTTAAACGTTTAGAGTTTAAGGTTTAGGGCATTGCAAAAACGTAACCTTAGACCCTCAGGGATTTAATCATTTTACTGTTTTCCTTAAGCCTTAATTAAAGCATATAGGCTTTAGGGTTATAACGCTAAACTCTATAGGATTAGAACCTTATAGCCTTATATTATAGGCCTTGAGGCTTAAATCCTACTGTTTTCCTTAAGCCTTACAGCATAAAGGGTTTAGGGTTCTAATGCTGAATGTATAAATGCCCAGACCTTAAATGCATCAGGTTTAGGCATTAAAGCCTTTAAGCCCTATAAGGTTTTCAGAGGTTTAAGGCCTGGGGATTTAAATTTAAGTTTGGGCATTCAAACTAAGTTAAGCCTTAAACCCTATAGGGCCCCTTTCGGGTCAGGGTTTATCTACCCTACCGGGTTAGCCCTTTAGGGTTTAAACCCTATAAGAGGTTAAAGGTTTAGAGTTTAAGGTTAGGGCATTGCAAAAACGTAACCCTAGTTCCTCAGTGATTTAACCACTTTACTGTTTTCCTTAAGCCTTAAAGCATATAGGGTTTAGGGTCATAACGCTAAACTCTATAGGATTTTTAACCTTATAACCCTACATTATTAGCACCCACATCATCAAGACATGTCCTGTAGGCCCCGGGGACGCGAGAATACTATGAGCAGATATCCTTTTACTCGCACATGTGACATCGCAACCTTCAGATATAGCGCTGGAACCAAGGTGAGATTGGATATCGTTTTGTGAAGCAGTTGTGGCTGTGACATCCATGTTTCGAAACAGGGGCTGTGTTTCGAAACAAAGGCTGTGTTTCGAAACAGGGAACTTCCGAATAACAGGTCTGGAAATACGTGAAAGCAAACCAACTGTGGCACAGCTACGGCTGTTACGCTTGAGGGGGGGGGGGGGAGTCCTGCCAAGATGGGCCAACTTCCAAGGACCCCTCCCCCCCCCCCCCCCCCCCCCTCCCCGCCCCCCCCCCCCCCCCCAAATCATGTATGCCAAACATCATGGTCAAGATTCCCACTTACGAATGGACTATTTTGAGGCCATAAGTTTAAAGTTGTAAGCGTTTACTAACCCCTAAACCTTATTAAATGACTGAAAACTACCCAACAACTCCGCCTCACAACAGTCCTTTCTGTAGACTTTAGGGTCGCCGAAGCCCTAGAAACTCGAGTAAACCCTGCTTTTGCTTTGGGGTACCCCCCTCTCTACTACCCCCCCCCTAGATTTGCCCCCTTAAAGAACCTTAAATTAGGCTTACTTATCCCTAAATGGCCTTCATTATGGGGGGGAACCTGGAGGGTGGGATAGTATAGAGGGGGGGGTTTAGGGTTTAGGGTTTAGGGTTTTTAGGGTTTAGGGGTAGCAGGAAAACCCTGCGATACGGTTAAAGTTAGGAAGGCATGGTTCCCCACTTTTCTTACACCTCAACCCTATGAATAGAGGGTTTAGGGTTTAGGGTTCAGGGTTCAGGGTTCCGGGTTCAGGGGTCAGGTTTTTAGAACCCCATGACTTGGTAGCCCAGTGGTACCCATTACTCTTTTTTTTTTGGTTACGGGTTCCCTTATAAAATAACCAAACCAAAAAAGGGGTGCCCTGATTATAATATGGTTACTGGGCTACCAAGATGAATTAGGGTTTAGAGGGTTTGGGGTTCAGGGAAGCTTGGTGTAGTCACATCGGGGACAGTGGAGCTCTATGGCTTGGAAGCAGCCATGCCTTGTGGGTGAGCCAGCTGAGCCAGGGATATGTCCCATAAGAAGGACACCCCCTTCTAGACAATCGATGTGCCGCAAACAAACTAGAGTCCCCTTACAAGGGAGCCCCCAGAAAGGGTACCCCTAGTTCTCGAAAACCACCCGGGTCCTTCTGTGGAGTTCATGTTTCCAAAAAGGGGGGTCTCTTAATGAATATGCTTCAAGTGCCCCGAAAAAAGCGCACGCCTAACGGCAACCCCACATGTAGGGAGACGGCGCGTTCTGAGGAATCCTTGCTCGGATTCTAGGAATGTGCTTTAACATTTGGAGATTTGGTAGGTTAGATTAGATTCCGAATCAGCATCGTCACTTTGAAAGACCCAACCGGTGACTAGAATGCGGATGGTCATGGAATGGGCAGTTTTGGTTGCAGGGATATGGCAAGCTTATCCGGGTGTAAGCCTCCTTTGGTGTGCCGATTTACATGCAGTACCCAAAATCGATTAAACCCAAACCCTAGACCCTACAAGGGAGCCCAAAGTATGGTGCCGCCACAATAAACACGAAAAGCCCTGAACCCTAAACCCTAAACCCAAGGCCCCAAAAGGCCCTAAAACTCCAAACTCCTGCAAGGGTTTAAAACCCCCAAAAAGCCCCAAGTAGGTGATGATCCCGGAAGCCTATATCCTCCTGGGGAATTATTTTTCATTTTTTGATTGTATACATCCCAAGAGAATATTAAAAACACTATTTTTATTAAGGTTCTAAGGGACCCCTGGGGAATTATATTTTTGTTTGTATACATCCCAAGAGGATAAAAAGTACTATTGTTATTAAGGTTCTCAGGCGAGTATAGTAATATCAAACCTCCCCCTACCCCCTAATACTAAATACACCCCATTATAGTTAGATTCTAGTATAGGGGGGGGGGGGTGTAATATTAGGGAGTAGGGGGAGGTTTACCCTAAACCCTAAACCCTAAACCCTAAATCCTAAACCCTTTAAGGTTTGAAGGGGGGTATAGAAGCGCCCCAAGCGCCGCCAGGCGACTCGAAGACATTTGCTCGGGACGCTGCGCCGATGCCTTGCGGGAGCTGTGCGAGCCCGAGCTGCCCTGACAATGGTACACTATACGTTTAGGGTTTTGGGCTTAGGGCGTTTAGGGTTTAGGGTTTAGGGTTTAGGGTTTAGGGTTTAGGGTTTAGGGGTATAAGTTATATAAGTAAAGGTTATAAGCCCTAAACCCTGAACCCTAAACCCTAAAGCCCGCAAAAAGAGCGATTCCGGTTAAAAGAAACTCCTAAAGCCTAAAGCCTAAACCTTATACACGTAGCTGTACCTGGAGGTTCCTGGGTACTTGCAAGCGGGGTCATAGTAGTACCTTAACCAGGGGTGATCGCCAATATTTGTTTCTTCCATCATGCTGCCGTTTTGGACAGGTCATTAAGGGATACGTCGCCGCAGGCTGTAGCTATATCCCCCTTTGGAATTATTTTCGTGTTTTTGTTTATATAAAACCCAAGGGGGCATTTAAAGATACTATTTTGATTATGGTTCAAGGGGGAGTATAGGTAGCTCTGGGGTGGGCACTCAAGGGGATGTCAAGGCTCCTGCGTGTGTGGTACTTTCCGGCAGTGGCACTCCATGGTACCTGCCTTCTACGGCCCTAAACCCTAAACCCTAAACCCTAAACCCTAAACCCTAAACCCGAAGCCCAGGAACCTCCAAGTACAAGCCTTGTGATTGATAAGGGCTCAAACCTTCAGTTGAGGAAGCCCCACCATGAGCCTCATGATTACAAGGGCCTAGGGTTTAGGGTTTCGGGTTTAGGGTTTAGGGTTTCGGGTAGCAGAGATGGCCGTTTGTGCAGGTCCACCCGGTCACAAAGCCAAGGCCCTAGCAGACGCCGTGTGTACCTAAACTTTCTCTTACTCTTTTTGGGGTGTATACAGGTTCTTCTTCTAAGGCCTACTCCCCAATAAGTTTAGGGTTTGGGGTTTACAGCCTCCATAGCTTTTTGGCACGTTTGTGAAGGTCTGGGTTCCAGGTGTCGCAGAGCCCGAATTTCATACATGGAGGTCCCCACGCCATGGCATACGGTTCGGGGTTTCCAGAATTAGGGGTACCCTTTTGGCGGTTCCTATCTGTTGGGGGGCTATTAGGCGTGCTGTTTAGGGTTTAGGTAGCTTAGGAATTACGGTAGTATGAACGGCTATGAGCTAATTATGTGAGGCATATTCCCATTCTCCAAATCTTGCTGCAAGCTATAGCCCTGCCTATAGCCTACGAGGTCAAGATAAATCAAGCTGTCTCTTCCGGCTGCTTCCTCACGGTTTGGTCAATAAACACATTCCTTCATTCCCTCCAAGCCCACGGAGAGCTTCCTTCGATGCCCCTCAACCATGACCCTAGCAATAACCCCGGCCCCCATACCCCCTGCTGTAAACCCTAAACCCTAAACCCTAAACCCTAAACCCTAAACCCTAAACCCAGGTTGGTTTTAAGACACATCATGCCATGAGGCGCCTCCCGCACGACCTCGGAGCGCCAGTCGCCGGGGGGACCGCCGCCCAATACTCAGCGCAGTGAAGCCACGGAAGGGAGGACTCCAGCCAAGTATGGGTTAGGTTTAGGGTTCAGGGTTTAGGGTTTGGGGTTTGTAGGGTTTAGGGTTTATGGGGTTTAGGGTTCAGGGTTCAGGGTTTCGGCACCAGGGTTTCGGGTTTGGGGTACCGGGTCCAGGGCTCAAGAATGCAGAAGTCCGATGGGGGATGCCTACTTTGGGCATTCCGGGCCAGCCTCGATTGGAAACATGTGTTAGAATTATGGGTCTAAGTAGGATTTGGGGTTTATGTGGTTTATAGGGTTTGTAGGGTATGTAGGGGCAACCTCCGCTAAACATCGACGTCTGCAAGCCTGCATACCGTGGCAATTCTACAGTCTCAATTACACGGTTCAGGCTTAGGGTTCAGGTTTGAGGCTACCCTAAGCCCTAAACCCTAAACCCCAAACCCTAAACCCTAAAAGTCCTTGCCGTTGGTTGCCTCAGGGTCTCCTTTGACGGGCTTGAGCCTGAGTCCCCGCCCCAGCTCATGGACAAGGACCTGGCATTGCAGGCCGCTTGCCACTGGGTCGCTGCATGTTGGGTTTAGGGTAGAGGGTTTAGGGTTTTGGGGTTTAGGATTTAGGGTTTAGGGGTCGTTTTTTGAAGTTTAGGGTTGAGGGTTTGGGACAAGTGTCTTGGAGGTTGGGAAAGTGCTGGTGGAATGTGGAACATGGATGAGCATGGTCGAGTACCGTGTCTAGCTGTACACTAAACCCTCAACCCTAAGCCCTAAGCCTTAAACCCGAAGCCCTGTAACCCAAACCCAAAACACTCAACCCTAAGCCCTAAACCCTAAGCCCCCTGACTTGGAGCCACTGCTTTCGCGTGCTTCGATGGAAGTAAACGTGCTGTGACATTCCATGACAGGAAGCTCAGCCACGCCAACTTGCTCTCTTTTTCGCTCAGAAATTGAACACATATAATATGAGATAAGAGAAGATGATGGATAAGAATATACCATCATCTAATTCTATATAGTACAGTATAATATACTACAACTTTAATGTAGTAGAATAGAATATAATACACTCTTATATACGAAAATTCATGCGTATACTGTATGAGGTTTTAGGGTTCAGGGTTGAGGGCTGCGACATTTAATAAAGAGAGATAAGAGGGTACCCCAAACCTAAACCCTAAACCCTAAACCCTAAACCCTAAACCCTAAACCCTAAACCCCCAAACCCCCAAACCCCCAAACCCCCAAACCGCCAAACCCCCAAACCCCTAAACCCCTAAACCCCCAAACCCCTAAACCCCTCAACCCCTCAACCCCTAAACCTCTAAACCCTAAACCCCTAAACCCCCAAACCCCTAAACCCCTAAACCCCTAAACCCCTACGCCCCTAAACCCCCAAAAACCCCAAACCCTAAACCCCTAAAACCCCTAAACCCCTCAACCCCTCAACCCCTCAACCCCTAAACCCCTAAACCCCTAAACCCCTAAACCCCTAAACCCCTAAACCCCTAACCCTAAACCCTAAACCCTAAACCCTAAACCCTAAACCCTAAACCCTAAACCCTATCGCTTCTTTGCGGCAAGGCGTGGTTGGCGGCCTTGACCAAGGAGGCCGGGGCATGGCAGGTTTGTGCACCTCACAGCCTTGCATTTCCTGCCTGTAGAGTTTAGGGTTTAGGGTTTAGGGTTTAGGGTTTAGGGTTTAGGGTTTAGGGTTTAGGGTTTAGGGTTTAGGGTTTAGGGTTTAGGGTTTAGGGTTTAGGGTATCAGGGTATGAGGGTTTAGGGTTCATATGGGTTTAGGGTGGACCCAGATGCCCCAGCCTCCTGGGAGGTTCATGGGTACTTGAAAGTGGTTTCTCCTTAGTAGTAGAGTAGGTAACCTTTAACCTTTTTGGGTTCATATATTCCCCTTATAATCCCAAAGGTTAACCTTTAAAACCCCTAGGTACTGGACAACTAAGTCTCAGGTACCCGAAAAAAGTCATGACTAAGTGTAGCTATAGTTGCCCTACTTATAGCTTATGACTTATACTAGGACACAGAGAAGGCCCTTCTTCCCCTTGTTTAGGGATCAGGGTCCCTGTTAAGCCCTTTGAGTCAAAAAAAGCGCGCGTTCTATTCCTAGGCTACTCTCGTGTCTTGCATAAGCAATTACCCATGAACATCCAAGTGTCCGACCACTCTGAACCCCAAACCCTGCACCCTAAGCCCTAAACCCTAAAATTCTCAACCCTCAACCCTAAAGCCCAAACCCTAAACCCTAAACCTGCTTTCAGGTACAACGCGTTGATGCCAATGTCAGACGTGGACTCCAGGCCGTCGAACAAGCGCAGAAAGGGTTTAGGTCAAACCCTAAACCCTAAACCCTAAACCCTAAACCCTAAACCCTAAACCCTAAACCCTAAACCCTAAACAAGGCCGAAGTCTTCGAGTTCTCCTTCAGAAGTTGCCTTCAGGAGCTGCAGTCACAGTTCCTGGACCTGATGCAGCTCTCGCAGCAGGGCCCTGCGGGCGAAGTTGCCTCTGCCCCTAGGGTTTAGGGTTTAGGGTTTAGGGTTTAGGGTTTAGGGTTTAGGGTTTAGGGCTCAGGGCCCTACATCCCTCGAAGCACATGTGGACCACGCCTCAGCGAAAGGGTTTTCGATTCTAGAGGGCACAACAAGGGAGGGACCGTATAAGGGGCCTTAGGGTTATTACGGGGCCGCTTAGTCATATAGGGACTTTTTTACGGTATATCAAGGGGTTTAGGTAGCCAAGGGTGCAGGCGCAGGTGGATGCGATGAAGGGTTTGATTTCTGACTGCTGCGTGAGGATCAGAGTCCAGTTTCGGTAGCCGATTGGAGAAACACGAGCGGCTGACGGAACGGACCTTACGCCTTAAGCCCTAAACCCCATAAACCTCCCTAAGCCTTAAACCCTCAACTCTAAACGCTATCCAAACAGAGCAGCCCAGACTGCCTCCAAAGGACACGGAGCTTTGTAGGTCCAAAGGTGGGACAGGTTGGCAGCCATGTCCTCCGGAAGCAAAGACCTTGCGGTTTGCCGGGAGAGCGCACCCTATTTTTGGTGCTGAGACTGGGTCGTTGTTGGTTTTATATTTTACATTTTTGTCATACCGTATGAAATGCCCAACGAGGACTAAGACATGATCATTTTAAGTACCATCCCCAACAAGGAAGCAGAGAGCCTGGCAGATGGCGCCAAAGGTACCGCCCAAGAATGCGGTGCCACCACCCCGACCAGAGCCTCCGAAGAATGCCAAGCCGAAGCCGTCGCCCAAGGAGAAAGCAAAAGCCGGCGGAAAGCTGAGTGCACCTTCAGCCGGGGGCAAGGCTGGGAATTTTCCCAAAATATTGGGCAGTACTAGGGTTTCCTAATTCGGGGTTTGTCCTGTTTTCAAGGCGGCTACCCTAAACCCTAAACCCTAAACCCTAAACCCTAAACCCTAAACCCTAAACCCTAAACCCTAAACCCTAAACCCTATGTTTTGGGGGTGGCTGGCACCCTTCTTCCCGACCCTGGGAGCCCAGGCGGGCCGCGGAGCAAGCAAAAACCCAAAGGCCGATGTCGAAGCTCTGGTCGTGGATTGCATCGAGGAGCCGAAGAAAGTCTCGAAATCCGTCCCCTGGGTTGAGGGTTTGGGGTTTAGGGTGTAGGGTTTAGGGTTTAGGGTGCTTGAGCGGCACCCGTTGGCCCTTTTTTGGGGGTGGTGCGGGGTTCCCCTTTTAAAAAGCTCACCAACCCCAAACAGGGGGGAAAACCCCCCCCCCCCCCAAAGAAGGTGGGGGTACCCTTCTCATGAGGTGGTCACTGGGCTACCCAAGGTCCACATCAAGGGGGTCGAGGTGACATCCGAGCCCCAACTTCCTCGGAAGCTGCTTGAGAAGCTCGTGGACCTTCCATTCATGTCTTCATGCTCGAAGCTCAGCCTCTTGGAGGCCCTGTGGTACCCTTTGCCCAATTTTTGGTTGGTTCTGGGTTCCCTTGTAAAAAGGAACCAACCAAGAAAAAGGGTACCCTTATTGCAACTTAAAGGGTGCCCTTGTTACAACTTTTAGATGGCTACGGGGGCTACCAAGGCCTTCAACGCGTCTCCTACCGGCCGAAGGTGCCCGAGCGGGCGCAGCCATCCCAGTCGCTGCGCCCCTCGCCGTCGGCAAGCCCGTCGCGGTCTGCCACCCGGTTTAGAGTTACGTAGGGTTTAGGGTTTAGGGTTTAGGGTTTAGGGTTTAGGGTTTAGGGTTTAGGGTTTAGGGTTTAGGTTCCCTTTGATTTCCATTTCCACTGAGCAACATTCAAGCTTTTGTGTTCAGTTGGGTACTGGGCTACCGAGGCCACGAAGACCAACGAGCGCGCACCGCCCAAGCCTGACACGTCGGCGAGCATGCTCGCACAGCTTGTGAAACCAGAGGAGGAGGAGGCCGAGGAGGGAACCCTAAACCCTAAACCCTAAACCCTAAACCCTAAGCCCTAAGCCCTAAACCCTAAACCCTAAACCCTCATCTGCCCAAAGGCCGAGGAGGGCCCGATGTTGTTGCTCGCCGTTGCTTTGGGGGCGGAGCCCTCCAAGCCCTGCCTTTTCCGCGTTGGGCCAACAGAGCTTTTGGAAGAGGAAGCTGGATGGATGCCACACTTTCAGGAAGCTTACGGCCCATGGTGCCCGCAGGAGGCCCAGATCTCTGAGACTCGCTGGCTGCACGACCTCATGCGCCTCCCGCTTGCGGGCGGCCGCTGCTTGCTGCCAGCCATTGCGCAGCAGGGGGCGCCGAGAGATGTCCGGAGCTTCTCCCAGCGCTTTACCGAAGCCTTGCCAGCAGGTGATGCTGACGTGAGTACAGTGAACGAGCCTCTGAATGCCAGCCAGCTTGTGTGTAGCTGGATCCTGACGCAGCCCATGCTCAACGGCTGCGAGGAACAGGCCCTGAATCTGCCTCAAGTCTTCAACAACGTGGCGGGCTTGATCTTGGGCCGGAGAAATTCACGTCTTGGCATGGAGTACTACGATGGGATGGGCTCCGACCTTGTCGAGAGCCAGATCGGTGGACCCACGAGCGACGGCGTGCCGATCGCGGAGCTGAACAAGATAGTTTCAGACATCATCCCGGGCATGAAGCAAACACGGCCCTCACAGTTCTTGGCATGGTTCCACGACCAAATGTCACTCAGGGATACTTGGAAATCTATTTTGTATTTTTGGGCACTTTAATTCCTAAGAAACAGCTAAAATTATAATGTTTGCTAGGGTTCCAAGTTCAGTATAGGTCAAGCACAGGGTCCAAGTGGAACCTGGTGGCATGGTACACCAAGAGCGCAGCCCCAATAGACTTTGACTGCGTCCTGCATGATGAGGATGGACAGGCATGGCTACCGGGCTGCACAAGTGCTCCATGTTCACTTCTTAGTTTCAGGCTTCAGGGCTTGGGGTTCAGAGGTTGAGGGTATTGGAGGGTACTTGTGGCGATGCAGGGTGCTTGGGGTTGAGACTTGGCGCTGGCACCAAGGCTGTCCGTATGCAGCGCGAACTCCGCGATGCCACGGTTTGGTCCCCCGCCTCCTGGAGACCAAAGCTTGCGATGTCGTCACGTCTTCGCGCGGCTGGCTCGCTGGCTCCTGCCACTCGGCATTGTTACTGGGAAAGGTCTGAAGACCCAGGCAAACGTGTCACTGTTCTTTTTAATAAATTGACAACGGTCGACTGCTGCTGCTGCTGCTGCTGCTGCTGCTGCTGCTGCTGCTGCTGCTGCTGCTGCTGCTGCTGCTGCTGCTGCTCCTGCTCCTGCTCCTGCTCCTGCTACTGCTACTGCTACTCCTACTCCTACTCCTACTACTACTACTACTACTACTACTACTACTACTACTACTACTACTACTACTACTACTACTACTACTACTACTACTACTACTACTGCTACTGCTACTGCTACTGCTACTGCTACTGCTACTGCTACTGCTACTGCTACTGTTACTGCTACTGCTACTGCTACTGCTATACTACTGCTACTGCGACGACGACGACGACGACGACGACGACGACGACGACGACGACGACGACGACGACGACGACGACGACGACGACGACGACGACGACGACGACGACGGACGAGGAGGACGACGACGGACGAGGAGGACGACGACGACGACGGACGAGGAGGACGACGACGACCACGACGACGACGACGACGACGACGACGAATTATCGCTCTGATTCTTATCATCATTTGTGTTGTGATTTTATATGGTTGTCAAATACTGTGTTCTTCTACATCGTACAAAACTTATGATCTCCCATCCCCTGCCTCCGTGCCCTCCTCGCAATTCCCGCTCGAATAAGTAGCACCGTCATCACTACATCTCTGGTCTGTCCATCCATTCGTTGGGATAAAACCCTAATCCTAAACCCCAAAGATCTAAACCCTAAACCCCCTCTCCCTCTCTCCCTCTCTCTCTTTCTGTAAGACAGCCCATCATCTCTTTCTCATACCGCAAAAACTCCAAGCCTATTCAACATAAGAATCCTATTCAAGGGCATCAGAATGGCGCATCCTGCAAGGTAGTTCTTGCTGCTACTCTTTCAGCCGCCAGGTCAGGAGTATTGCTGTTCGCACCCATAGACACCCCAGCTGACCAGAAGCAGTTGCGAGAGCTCCTCATGATCTTGGCAAGCCCCTTGGCCAGAAGCCCGGAGTAGGCACTTATTTCCTTGTTTTAGGGTTGGGGTTCCCTTCTAGATCCCCTTAAACCCTAGGCTGCTCTTGTGTCTAGGACCTTATACCCGAAACCCTAGTCTTCCGTGGACTGTGTATGTGGTAGCTCGAGGAACTAAGTGAAGACTCCCTTTGCAAGATGCGAACCGGTGTTCGTCAACAATTCTGTCCAAGGTGTCTTTAGGGTTTAGGGTTTCGGGTGCTAAGCCTGAAACGCTGCCAGAACCTTTGACTCCTCTGCAGGGGCGCTCCATGATTCAAGCCAGAACATATCAAAACATGTTACATGTTCAGGAATTGGGTACCTGCTATCCCCCTCCCCTTTCAGGGACCATACAAGGCACCTGTATTTCACGAATTCCTAACTTGCGGACACTTTCCCGGGTGAGTTTTGTTTCCGCGCGTTCATTTTGTACTGGATTGCTGTGCATCGCCGGTGATGGTCATGCACCTATAGACGTATCATCATCCGTGACGACATGACCGGCAATTATAGCCATCCAACTAGCCCTTCGTTGTTCAACTGTGCGTGTAAGAGAAAGTGTTTGTGGAAGTGGGGATTGTTTTGAAGCTGCTCCTTTCATTGCAAGTGGCATGTGTGTAAGGCTTGCCAGAGGACAACATCGACAAGGTGGCCCCCCCGCCCCCACCCCCAGAGGCGAGCCCACATGTTCGCTTCGTTTGGGCTTTCGTTCGCCGGGTAGCCCGCTGCTTCTGTTGGCATACGACCCGTGTTGTCAACGGCGAGACCGTGGTTCTGCCGAAGCCTGGCATGCAGATGCTCTGGGCTTTGCTCGACACTGCTGTTGAGATGGTAGCGTCGGCGCGCACCCGCTCTTTCCCTGAGCGAAAGCGGCTGGCCCTGTGGGCCAGTGTTTGCTTTGCTGTGAGGCTGGCAGTGGCGTCGGGCAAGATGGAAGAGCCCAGTTGGCTTTCGGACAGGTACAAGCTGTGGCGTTTGCCAGAGGACGGGGGGCTTGACATCGAGGGTGCAGCAGCTCAAGTCCACATGATCCGTTTCGGACTAGATGAATGCTGGTCGACCGATCGCGTGACGAAGCGGCTAAGAGCAATTCATGCCGATGACCTGCCATGGGAAATCTCTGAAAAAGCCCACAAGGCTGCAATCGAGAGTGCCGAAGGCGAAGCCTTGGAGGAAGACGCTGCAAAATCTGTGGAGCATGCCGAGGAGCATGCCGCAAATGCCGCAAATGCCGCAGCCGTAGCTGCAGATGTCTCAAGTGACCAAGACACCACCAAGGCAATCCAAACCATGCCACACTTGGAGGGTACCATGGGCCATTTGGTGCGCAAGGAGTTGGAGACAAGGGGGCGGCTGGTCGTTACCGGGGGCCTTGGGGCCGGAAAACACTCGATCTCCCAGACCGTCATGGCAGACCTGGTTGTGGGGCAGGTGTGGCACAAGAACATCTTCCGCTTTCCCCTCCGCATCTCCATGGAAGAGCTGTCGCAGAAGCTCCAAGCAAGTGCCGCGGACCCTCTCCAGGAGCACTTTGCCTCCTGCAAGCATCTCGCGGCCGCATGCGCCTGGGAGCGCACCCGGACGCCGCCCTGGTCCGGTCGCTGGGCCCACCAAGTGGTGCGCGCCCAAGGTGCCCGCAAAGGAAGCCCGGGGCGCATCTTCGTTGTCGGCGGGCACAGCACGGAGAGAAATAAGCCCTTGCAGGACGCCTGGGTGTCGCAGGACAACGGCGAGACGTGGGAGGAGCTTCCCACGCCTCCTTGGCCGGCACGCAGCGGCCATCAGGTCATCTGCTGGGAGGACAAGCTGGTGCTCTTGGGAGGTGTGGGGGATGAGGAGCGACGGCTCCGTGATGCTTGGGAATCTTCAGATGGGGGAGAAACCTGGCAGGAGCTCCCATGCCCCCGGTGGTCTGCTAGATATGGCCACCGGGCGGTTGTGGTGCCCATGGTGGTCAAGGAGGTGGCCACACCACATCTGGTCCTCATGGGTGGCAACGGTGCTGGCAACAAAGCTTTGAGGGATGTTTGGGCCTCAGATTCTGGCGGCTTCTCCTGGGTCGAGCTCGATCCGCTTCCCTGCTCCCCACGATGGGGCTTCGGCCTCACACAGTTTCGCAACCAGATCTGGATTACGGGTGGCGCCGATGAGCTGCATCACCTGAATGATTGCTGGATTATGGCCCATGAAGTCTGGCCCAGCAAATCGGCTGGAGGTGCTGGTGGTGGTGGTGGTGGCAGAAGGAGGTCAGACGCCGGTGACTTGGTCATAGTGGGGTAACATTTTACTTACATTTTCAAGGGTACTTAATCTTGGTAGCCCAGTGTTACACTCGTTTTTGGTTATGGGTTCCCTTATAAAATGACCAACCCAAAAAGGGTGCCCTTATTTTAGTATGGTTCCTGGGCTACCAAGGATTTCAATGTTTAAGACTATCCCTAGTAGTAGAGTAGGTAACCTTGAACCTTCTTGGGGCAGCATAATCCCCTTACAATCCCAAAGGTTAACCTTTAGTTCCCCCAGGTTACTGGACCCCTAAACCCTAAACCCTAAACCCTACACCCTAAACCCTAAAGGGGAGAACTAGGTAACGCCACCGCCACCGCCGGTTCCGCCGAGTCGGCCGAGCGCGTTTGGAAGCACTTCCCCACCCCCTGGGCGCAGCGATCGCTTCACCAGGCTCCGGAACCCTAAACCCTAAACCCTAAACCCCAAACCCTAAACCCTAAACCCTAAACCCTAAGCCATTTCCATGCCGTGCCATGCAATGCTGTGAGGTGGTCCTCTTCAGAGGGCAGCTGGCCATCTTTGGCGGGGTGGATGGTGCTGGAGAGGCCAGGGATGCCGATTCCGATCCACGTTGAGGGTTTAGGGTTTTGGGTTTTGGGTCTAGGGTTTAGGGTTTGGGGTCTAGGGTTTAGGGCTTAGGGCTTAAGATTCCTGGCAGTCATCTACATAGGCATCCATATCAACACTTCACAGCAAAGAGCTGTAGAGTATTGAGAGCAGGTTGGGATCCTACTCAACAGCAGGCAACTTACAAACATGGGGGTTTTACGAGATAGGGGACCGACCCCCTAGTATAGACCCCCAAATAGTGGGCGTATGATAAACCTATTTTGGGGTCTTCTTGAAAGCCAGGCAAAGAAAGGGGAAAAATTACTAAAAGCCCAAAGAAGGCAGTAAATTTATAATCTAATAATACTGTGTTCATTCCATTCTCTACGAAAAAAAGGTAAAAAGGGAACACATGAATTATATTAAAAGGAGTGAGTGAGCGAGCGAAACGAGAGAACGAAATAGCCGCCCGAATGAACGAAATGTAAACGAAACCAAAACTTGTCTGTGAAGAACTCAGTATAATAATTATGTGGGGTTCTTCATAGTATTATTAATGAGGCAGTAAGAACACCCAATAAAATATGCTAACGCCGTATTAAATTTCTAATAATTATTGGCTTTCCTTATAAATTTAATATTAAATGGACAACTTTCCAAATAAAATTGTAAATGAAATACACGTGCCTTTTTACCTTTTAATTCGCTTCATCTTTCTTTTGGTTATTGCCGTAATAATATCGAAATAACCAATCGTAGGATTCCCGTGTAGTAAGGATCCCAATAAGGAACCCCTAGTATACCGAAACCCTAGACCCTAAACCCCAAAACCCCAAAACCCTAAACCCTAAACCCCCACAGACACTTGACGCTGGGCTTCTCGTGGCCCCAGGTCCTCTCGGATGCCTGGCTCTCTGAGGACAACTTGGCAGCTGAGTGGTAATTACCCTTTTCTAAGCCCCCTAAGCCCTAAGCCCCAGGCCCGAGGTTCTAGGCCTTAAGCCCTAAGCCGTAAGCCCTAGGCCCTAGGCCCTAAGCCCTAAGCCCTAAGCCCTAAGCCCTAAGCCCTAAGCCCTAAGCCCTAAGCCCTAAGCCCTAAGCCCTAAGCCCTAAGCCCTAAGCCCAATCCGAAAAAGGGTACCCTTATGATAACCATGGCTTCTTGGCTACCTAGGCAACGTACGCTCAGACCATGTTTTCTGACCTTTTAAGGAGCGCTAGATTTTTATTCGCTGCAACCTCCAGAAGAGTAGTTTAAGGGCTCGCAAACCCTAAACCCTAAAGCCTAAACCCTAAACCCTAAACCCTAAACCCTAAACCCTAAACCCTAAACCCTAAACCCTAAACCCTAAACCCTAAACCCTAAACCCTAAACCCTAAACCCTAAACCCATCCCATTCCTCCAGATCAAGGGCTACTGTAATGTGCGAGGGTTGCGGCACGAATGCAATATATGATAAGGGAGTTTCCAACCATTTGAGCTCCCCCCATGGCAGGACCCCCAAGAATGCATCCTAGCTAGGAGAGTAGGCCCTTGTTTTTTTTGTTTTTTTCTGGGAGGTGGGGGGGGGGGGTTAAGCCAAAACGTGCAGCCGTTCCATTTCTAGGTTGCTCTTTGGGCCTAGCGAATTTTGCGAAACATCCAGCCTACATCCCCGTGGCTAAACCGTCCTTACCCTAAACCCTAAACCCTAAACCCTAAACGCTCCTCACTTCACAAGAGGACGGTCAGACCTGGCGGCCGCTGCCGCGTTCCTCCTGGGCGCATGTCGCCGACAGCTTCGGCCACCAGGAAGGGAGCTCCAGGGGGTTAGGGTCATAGGGTCATAGGGTTTAGGGTTTAGGGTTTAGGGTTTAGGGTGAGTCAGGGGCTTCCTGAAGAACCCAGAGTTGGGATGTTCCCCCCCTATACCAACCGTCCTTCCTAGGGATGATGCAATCCCTATTATGAGGACTGTCGGTATGCGGGGGCAACTCCCAAGCCTTGGGGCTCATTTTTGTGATGTTGACCTGAGAATCTTCCGGGGGCTTCGCAATCACAATCTATAGATCACAATCTATAGGGGGTGCGCTCCACTGGGTTCCTTGGAGTGACACAAGTGCACACGCACCATGCCCAAAAGAGGCAAAACATCACAATCTACAAGAAGTTCAGCGCTTGAGATGACTTGTAGGGCAGCAGTCCCGATAGCTTGCGCCCCAGGGATTCCAGAGGTGAATACCCCGACCGCACCCCATACTCCTTGAACCCCTGTCAACCCTAAAACCTAAACCCTAAACCCTAAACCCCAAACCCCACCCCCCCTCCCATTGAGCCCTAAGCCCCAAAACCCATGAGTCCTCGGCCATGAGATGCACGCTGCATGAGCAGGTGGCGCACCTGGAGGATGGCGCGGGCCTAAAAGGGTTTTTGGGGTTTAGGGGTTAGGGGTTTTGGGTTTGTGGGGTTTAGGGGGTTAGGGTTTAGGGTTTTGGGGTTTAGGGTTTAGGGTTTAGGGTTTGGGGCTTAGGGTTTTGGGGTTTGGGGTTTGGGGTTTAGGGTTTAGGGTTTTGGGGGTTTGGGGTTTTGGGTTTAGGGTTTTGGGGTTTAGGGGTTAGGGGGGTTGAGGGGTGTAGGCGTTTAGGGGTTTAGGGGTTTGGGTTTAGTAGGGCATATAGGGTTTGCTTACAGGGCTTATCGGGTTGCGTGTTGTTTTGTTCGTTGGGTTTAGAGGGCTTCATGACATGGGCGGCTGGGACCTCCCCCCCCGCCCCCCCCCCCCCGTTTTCGGTTCCCATATTCAGCCCCCAAGCTGCAACCCGGATCTTTATGGCTCGGATGCCCAGTGGTACCCTTATTCCTCTTTTGGGGTTTGCGTTGCCTTCCCAAGCGAACAAGGGCACCCTTTTTAGGGCCCTTGAAGGAGGGGATCCTGGGGAGCTTTAGGGAGTAGTGGGGAGTATTAGGGATCCTTGGGTTATCTAACCCCTCTTGAAACCCCCATCCCTTAAGGACCCTCTAATGAATCCTAGGTTCCTGGGCAACCCCTAAACCCTAAACCCTAAACCCTAAACCCTAAACCCTAAACCCTAAACCCTAAACCTCGATGGGGTCTCTAGGGTTTCGGTGAGCTGGAGACGTGAGGTCGAGTGATGGTCCTTGGTGGCCATGGTGGCGGCCGACATGTCTTCCGATCCAGGCGCGCGTTCTTGCCTTCAATCGACGGCCTGAGCTACCCTAAACCCGAAACCCTAAACCCGAAGCCCTAAACCCTAAACCCTACCAGGGTTAAGGGTTTAGGGTTTCGGGTTAATATGGGTAGTTGTCTGAATTTGGGTCCCCTTTTGGGTCAAAAAGCGACCTAGTTTTCAGGGTGATGTACTATGTTTAAAAGGACTCAACAAGGACCGCAATATAGAGAACTACCCACAAGGGGGGCCTAGAATAAGAGCCCCTGAAGGCTCCGTGCCTCTTCTTGAGACCACGTCTCAGCCTCCCACAAGGGAGAATCTCAAAGCCTAGTCAGCAAGCAGGCCTCTCGCCAATCCTAAACCCTAAACCCTAAAACCCTAAACCCTAAACCCTAAACCCTGAACCCTGAACCCTGAACCCTAAACCCTAAACCCTAAACCCTAAACCCTAAACCCTAAACCCTAACCCTAAACCCTGAACCTTACACCCCAAGTCTTTAGGTACGCTGGGCCAGGAGTGTGCTTTAGGCACCCTGGGTTCCCCCATGCCCGGGTTTAGGGTTTAGGGGTTAGGGGTAGAAGGGGAGGCTTTAGGGTTTAGGGTTTAGGGGCTACTGCATGGGCAAAGGGGGGAGGAGCATTCAGAGGGTAACGGAGACGAGACAGCCCCACCCTCCAAACCCTAAACCGTGCGCAAAGGCTGTTTGCCTTGGCGCTGGAAGGCATTGACGAGAACCTCGACCAGGACCGACGGCAGAATGAATCTGGCAAGTGTAGTTCAAGTTGCGCGGGTTTAGGGTTTAGGGTTTAGGGTTTAGGGTATCCCAAAAAAACACGAGCCAGCAAAAACAGAGCCAGGAGCAGGAGAGGATGTGTGCTGGAACATGAGCAGAGCCAGTAGAATCACCCTCTCAGAACCGCCTCGGAGAACTCAAATCCGAAGCCCTTTGTTCTATTTGGGGGTTTCCCAACATGGGGGGCTCCTTTTGGGAGGCTCCTATGAGAAGAGCGTGAAGTTTTAGGGGGGGGGGGGGGGGGGGGGGGGGGGTTCTTCGGGGTCCGCTTTTTCGGTTAAATTCCTGCTGGAGGACGTGGTGGACTACTTGGACAGGCCGCCGCCGCACCGCGAATGCATGAGTCGGGAAGCTTCTGGGTGGCTAATTTTGCTAATTTCAAGCGGCTTGCATGCGTGGCTTGGCTTGTGGCTGGCCTGAGCCCCTAAGACCCTAAACTCTCGACCCCCTTAACCCCTAAACCCATAAAACCCTAAACCCCAAACACCCCTAAACCCCTCTAACCCCTAAACCCCCGAACTTGTCGCAGGCTGCTTGCGCACGAGCCGGGTCACATGATCTTGGGCGTGAGCTCCTTGCAAGACCCCCGGCATCACATCACCAGCTTTAGGGTTTAGGGTTTAGGGTTTAGGGTTTAGGGTTAGGGTCATTTAGACAGGTCAATGCCATCATCATGATGAGGACGTTTCATTGTGAGTGTTATCATCGTTCTGATCGCTATGATGATTATTCTCACAATCTTTATGGTTAGAATGTTCATCATGAGCTTCATGATTATGCTGACAAGTAGCTGTCTTGTCATGAATACCACCACCACCACCACCGCCACCACCACCACCACCACTACTACTGCTACTACCACTACTACTACTACTACTACTACTACTACTACTACTACTACTACTACTACTACTCCTACTCCTGCTCCTGCTCCTGCTCCCGCTCCTGCTCCTACTCCTCTACTCCTACTCCTACTCCTCCTACTCCTACTCCTACTCCTACTCCTACTGCTACTCCTACTCCTGCTCCTGCTCCTGCTCCTACTCCTACTCCTACTCCTACTCCTACTCCTTCCTACTCCTCCTACTCCTGCTACTGCTACTTCTACTGTATTGCTACTGCTCTGCTACTGCTACTGCTACTCCTGCTACTGCTACTTCTACTGTATTGCTACTGCTACTGCTGCGGCTGCTGCTACTGCTACTGCTACTGCTACTGCTGCTGCTGCTGCTGCTACTGCTACTGCTACTGCTACTGCTACTGCTACTGCTACTGCTACTGCTACTGCTACTTGCTGCGACGACGACGACTACTACTACCACCACCACCACTACGTATACTACCACTACCACCATTACCACCACGACCACCACGACCACCACGACCACCACGACCACCACGACCACCACGAGCAAGACGACGACCACCACCACCACCACGACCACCACCCCCACCACCACCACCACCACCACCACCGCCACTACCACTGCCACTGCCACTGCCACTCCCACTGCCACTGCCACTGCCACGGCCACTACCACTACCACCACCATGGTTTTTGTTGCCATGTTGTGATTGCCATTGTCTATGTAACTGGCATTCCTTATTCAGCTTGGCAGCGCCGCTCAGTTGTCCTGCAAGCCGTACGCCTGTCGAGTGCCAGTGCTGACTTCCACCTTTCAAGGCTGGAGTTGGGTGACGCAGATGTCAGCGCAGGCGCTGTCCGACTAATAGATGTTGTAATGGTAGTAATCATAGTCATAGTGGCAGTAGCAGTAATCGTAAGAATAGTAATAATGATAGTAGCACACAAATTCGATTAATAATTAGAAGACTCGTCATAAGAGTAGTAGTAGTAGTAGTAGTAGTAGTAGTAGTAGTAGTAGTAGTAGTAGTAGTAGTAGTAGTAGTAGTAGTAGTAGCAGTAGCAGTAGCAGTAGCAGTAGCAGTAGCAGTGGCATTTTTATGTTTCAGTTAGCCTTGCGCGGTGAGAGTTGGCGTACTGCACGCCGACCTCTGAAACAAACCCTGGCCGTCTCGTGCCGCTTGCCATTCGCAGGGCTTATGGTGGGCTTTACAGTACATTGTATTTAGGCTGTATAGGGTTTAGGGTTTAGACAACTTAGAGTTTGTGATGTTCCCCACCAGCCATGTGCCCGCGGAGAGCTTGGAGGCGGATGCGGTAACCCTGGACAGGCTGCAGCCTGTGAGGCAGCTCAGTGTAAACAGCGCCCGGATCTTGTACAAGGAGGCGGTGTAACTTGTCAGCCGCCCTCATGCTTCGTGAAAGTTTCTCACAGCTGGGGTGTCAGAGCTTAGAGTACTTGCAGCGTTCGCCGCGTCCTCTCCCCTTGAGGTGGGCTTCTTGATCGACACTTTCCCGAAGCCGGTGGTTCTGGCAGACGCCCTTGTTCCGGACTGCCCCATCGTCGGCGCGTCAGACTCCTTCGCAAGGTTGTGTGGCTACTCCCGCGATGAGATTTTGGGGAAGAACTGTCGCTTGGTAGCACAGTGGTACCCTTTTTCTCCTTTTGTTGGTTCAAGGTTCCCTTACAAAGCAATTCCAACCCCAAAAAAGGGTGCTGCCTTAACTAGAACCTGGCTACTGGGCTGCCAAGGTCGGTTCCTGTTGAAGGACGTGCCGGGCTGCTGCATCTCCAGGTCGGGGCGCAAGAACCTACGATCCATGATCCGGATGTGCCGGCTCATCGGTCTGTCAGCCATGGGAAGCACCAGCTGTACGCAGGCTGGGAGTGCACACAGCGCCTTGTTTTTCTGACTCCCCTCCTCTGGGCGTGGAACAGAACACTTAAAGCGAAAGGGGAAGTTGCAAAAAGGGATCGGAAAGATCTTCGACACCTAACGGTGAGGCCCAACGACGCACCCCTTTGTGGGTTGACACCCTGCACACAGGAAAAAAGAAACGGGTGGAGGGGAGCAGGGGGACCGAAGTTTCGGTGGGCGCCCTCCCAGAAAAGTAGGGAGGAAGAGCGTGTGTGCACGCACCACACATGCACACACTTTCGATTCCAGATTTTCCACTTCCAAGCCAAGGTACCGAGTGTCTGACATATGGACTGCAGGTTGGAATTGTTGATGTATATTCAGGGTGTGATTTGGGTTGGACAACAGCGGTGATGAAACATTGTACAGCAATGACGACGATTCATGATTCACATATCACTTTGTAGCACGTACAGGAAGGTGATCAGCCTTCCATTCCCATGTCACTGGTAGCTTGGCAGAACATGGACCGCAGTCACTAGTAGTAAATTTCTAGTTGCACACACGGAGATAAGAGAGTAAACTCTCACTGGCTTCCCTGTCCGAAGATCTTATGCATGGTGACGAAATTGTGGCCGATGTCCCAAGGTGCAAGCCATCTGGAGCGTTCGGACTTGAAATTATTTGAGGACCGAGGATTCCGGGTTTTGAGGGTACATGATGTCACAAGCAGTATAGTGGATACCAGCTGCAACAACTTGCCCAGGTACTCCACGCGCAGGTACGTTTTCCTGCCCGATGACATAGAGCTTCGTTGGCGCGAGCTATGTCAAAGGACCTCGCGCCCCCTGCATAAAACACATTCACCGTCAGTCTTCTATACGAAATGTCCGGCCAAGCCTTAGAGACTTTCCAAAACCCTTAGCTTAGAATCAGGGTGCACACACACACGCCCCTCGGTCAGAGGGGACGGCCCAAAACATGCGGTACTTCCGACAACGGGAAAGTGAAAGAAGACATGGCGTCACACAGATCCTAGCAACTAAAAAAAAAAAAGAAAAGGTTAAGGCTGAATAAGGAGCCGAGCATCGCCAATCCATCCATAAAATTCCATTGGCGCTAAGGCCTCTATTGCGGTCCGGAGGACCTCCATTAGGCCCCACCTCGGGCCACACGGGTGCTAAGACCCACCATTCTTGCTCTTGGGACTAGCCCTCTGTTGCCCATCCACCTGAAAGTTACTCATCGCTCGAGAGCGGTCTAGTGGGCTCCATGCGTGGCACTAGGCCTCTCGACCCAACCTGCCAGGTTATTGGGCCTCCATGGTACCATGATGAGTCGCACAACGACCCGTACAGCTCCCTCGCGGGATAACTGCGATTGGCAACAAGGCCACACACGGAGATAAGAGAGTAAACTCTCACTGGCTTCCCTGTCCGAAGATCTTATGCATGGTGACGAAATTGTGGCCGATGTCCCAAGGTGCAAGCCATCTGGAGCGTTCGGACTTGAAATTATTTGAGGACCGAGGATTCCGGGTTTTGAGGGTACATGATGTCACAAGCAGTATAGTGGATACCAGCTGCAACAACTTGCCCAGGTACTCCACGCGCAGGTACGTTTTCCTGCCCGATGACATAGAGCTTCGTTGGCGCGAGCTATGTCAAAGGACCTCGCGCCCCCTGCATAAAACACATTCACCGTCAGTCTTCTATACGAAATGTCCGGCCAAGCCTTAGAGACTTTCCAAAACCCTTAGCTTAGAATCAGGGTGCACACACACACACACGTACCAAGCAATGCCACAGCGTATGGGGGGGCCAGGGGGGGGGGGTGCTGTTTCTACAGGAGGCGAGCGGTGAGAAGCCAGACGGTCCGCTCCACAAGCCCCTAAACCCGATGAACCCCACGTTCTCAAAATTAGGGTCCAGTTTACCCAAAACCCTAAACCCTAAACCCTAAACCCCAGACCCTAGACCCTAAATCCAAACTTGGCTCTCAACCCTAAACCTTAAACCCTAAACCCTAAAACCTCTTATAAGCGTACACCCTAAAGCGTTGCACCATGTTGCACCAGACCAACCGCAAGCGCGATGGCGAGACCTTTCTCAACATGTTCGCGGTGGGCCTGGTCCTACTTGATGTGTCTTGGTGGTAAGGTTTAGGGTTTAGGCTTTAGGCTTTAGGGTTTAGGGTCTAGGGTTTAGAGTTGAGGGTCTAGGGTTTTGGGTTTAGGGTTCAGGTTTGCCCATTTCGGCCTTGTTGGAAGTAAAACAACCCCCCAGAAAGGGTTAGATCATATGGTGCCTGGGCTAGCAAGGAATATCCGTTTCTGGTCGGGGTGCAGTCTGAGATGGGCACTGGAGACTCTGCAGCTCATGTGAAGCAAGATCAGCATGCTCTCATTGAGCAGATTCGTGTGATCTTGCAGCAGGGATTGTCAGAGAATGCAACCGCTGTCCTGGCAAAGGAGCATTTTTTGCCTCCACGACCACGGAATCTGGCCGGCTCACCTGCCTTCTCACCAACAGCCCTCACTGAAAGGGTGATCTTGCTGAATGACAGGCGGACCGTCATGAGGCGAGAGCCTTGCGAGATCCCCAATGGCTGTGTGGTGATCAGTGAGCAGCCCCTCCGACGCACTCGCCTTGGAATTTTCTTCGCAGTTCGGATGGAGGGGGTGCTGCGGGAAGGCTGGCACACCAGCTGGCCAATGCTTGGCCTGACGCAGATGCCACCTACCGATATGGTCAGGGACGGATACCCCCTGCGCGCAGAGTGGTGCGCCAAAAGTATCTGCATTGGTGGCGAATTCCAGGCCTTTGTGCGAGAGAAGGCTCATCACTTCGATGCACGTGGCGCCCCAAGCCCTGACGAGCTCCGGGTCTTCGAGGGGCCCAGGCCACGTTGGCAAAACCGGCCCACGACGCCGTGGGACCTCAGTGAAGGAGACGTGATGGGCATGCTCTACACGCCGAATCTGAATCACAGTGGGGTAACATGTTACATGTTTAAGGGTAATTGCAGTACTTAAACTCAATAAGGAATATAAGTTTGGATTTTTAATATTCTCCCAACCATGAACTAGGAATGGGGACATCCACCTCATGATCAACTACCAGTCCGTCCTCAGCCTCTCCACGGGGAAGCCCCTGGAAGCCCGAGACTACTATGCACTGGTGGATTGCCGGGGACAGGCATATGAACTCATGCTGCTGCCCTACGAAATGCCGGTGGTGGGCTACATGCAAGAGCTGGCGCTGCAGCCGCTGATTAGCCACAAGGTCGTCGACCACGTGGCGCGCACGGCTGCCAGCCGCGCGGTGTCCTCCTGCACCTTTTCCGTCTCCATTGCGGATCCCTCCTTGCCGGATATGCCCCTCGTGGCAGTATCTCGGGCGTTCGAGGTCATGACCGGCTACACCTGCGAAGAGATCGTCGGGCTGAACTGTCGCTTCCTGAACCACGACTGCGAGATGGAAACCCGACAGCGCTACCAGCTGAGGAAGTCTTGTCAGACGGGAAAGCCCTTTACGGGCCTCCTGCAGAACCGGCGCAAGTCCGGCGATCTCTTCGTGAACCTCCTGGACCTGCGAGGCATGAAGGTTGCCAAGGATGCTGAGACTGGAGAGGACGGCGCCTCCATTTTTCGATTTGGGGGCTTACGACAGAAAGCACACATACTTCTGGTACTTCAAGCACTGAGCACTGCACGTACTACAAGTACTCCCCTTCCGCCCCCTCAGTTCCCGAAACCTTTCAAACCCTAAGCTATCCCTATTCCCTAGTTACTCATCCTTTCTCACCAATCCTCCAAGACCCAGGTGCCGACCCACATCGCCGATAGGGCTTATTTTGGGTCGCACCCTGCTTCCCTTCCTACCTCCCTCCCCCCCCTCCCTATATGGAGGACATCTGGTATCTGGTTGGTATCCAGTCCGATGTGACAGACCTTGTGGATTCCGACGGCCAAGCTGCCGTCCGAGAACGGCATGCCTGCGAGCTTCAGAGCGTTGCGAACAACTTGCGGCAGGAGCTTCATAGGGAGTTTGCTGCTAGGCCCTTGGGATATGGTACATTTTCCCCCATTTTTCCCCTTTTTGGGTTTAAGAGGGTCCTATTTAGGAACCTTCTTCGAAAGAGCCTCAAAAAGCGCCATCCCAGGCTGAGCTTGCCTTGACCTCAAGGAACGCAGTCATCCAAGAGGGCGAGGGTGAGACGCCGGAGTTTGGAAAGACTTGCGCAGGTGAGAATACTGTGAACGTTCCTGCTGCTCCAGGCATTGAGCGTGGTCCGAAGCCGAGCTTGGTTCCAATGATCGCCCTTCTCTCTGAGCCTGGTTGGGTGAAGCACGATGCGGAGGATGATGACAGCGAGCCAGAGCAGGTAGACCGCCACGCAAAGAAGACCACGCAGCGTTTGAAGACTGCCTCCAGTCTCACCAGCTTTCAGGATAGAGTGATGTCTGTACCCGTCGTTTTCCGCCGGCAGTGGTCACTTGCGCCCATTGCTGGTGCCTTTCTTCTGGGCATAGGTAGCGCCTTCATCTGTCAGCTACTCTTTCGTCAGCGCAAGTAGTTAAGCTCCTGCGGCCTGTAGTCGTGGATGTATAGAGAGCGCTGCTGTAAGATATCACCAGTACAGCACTATTCAGCTGAAGTGGCTAAGAGCCGTTTTTCAAGCTCCTTCGAGCGACTGTTGCTTTACGTGCAGCATGCTCCTCAGAACACCGAAGCACTGCGGTTTAGGGTTTGGGACGCAGAGGTTTAGCGCATCCTCACCAGGAGTCTTCCACCATGCTTGAAGCTTGGACTTCTGCACATGTAGACTCTGTAGACACCCCGAAGATCCTGTAATCCTTCTCCTGGGCAAGGAACAGGGTGGGACGCCTAAACAGACAACCCTAAACCCTAAACCCTAAACCCTAAACCCTAAACCCGAAACCCTAAACCCTAAACCCTGAGTTTTGGGGCTCCGGGCGTCGGGTTGCGACATGCCTTCCTTACCATGTGCGCTAGCAGCACACCCACCCCGCATCGACAGATGGAGCCGCTGAAGGGGAAGAAGAGCCGCCCAGCGATACCACGGAGTCCTATTTCAGGAGGCGCGTGGGTTTAGGGTTAGCCTGGAGGGAACCCTAAACTTAGGGTTTAGGGCATATAGGTTGGGATGTTCCCCCTTATCCACGAACAAGATCGGTATTCAAGCCATCGGGACAGAACCTTTTTATTGCCCCTCAGTATCTTTCTCCGGGCAGGGCCCGTTTATAGAGCTCAGAATGAGATCCAGTCAGACTTTCAGAAAATATACCCTATAAGCCTACAAGCCCTAAACTAGACAAGAAATACCAGAAAGCCCAATTGAAAGGTTTCACATTCCGGTACCGTCCCTGGCTTGCTTTTTCATGCAACATGTCGGTTCAGTTGCCCGCCTTATTGAGGCAACATTCCGGTACAGTTGCCCGCCTCAGCCCCCTTAGCTTGCTTGCAAAGGCAGCATGCTGCTACAGCTATATACGGCAACATTCTGGTGCAGTTGCATGCCTGACCCTCCCTGTCCCACAGTTGCCCGCAACATTCCGGTACAGTTCACATCCTGTCGTCATGAATGTTGTACTGCCTGGGGGCTGTACTGCCTGCTGTCCGGAGCACGTAACGTCACATAATGCGTGCCACTTTGTCCTTCAAATCTCACAACCCCACTTGTCGGTTGTGGACACGAGTTTAGGGTTTGGGTCGGGTTTAGAGTTTACCCTCAGGCTCCTATGTAGTACTTCTTTGGGGTAGTACACTAGAAGCCCCTATAACTAACCCAAAAAGGGACTACATTGGAGCCTTTGGGTAGGGTTTAGGGTCTAACTCACCTCAACCATGTTGTCGTTGTATTTCGAGCTGGCCATCGTTGGAGGTGGCGCTTCGCCGAGCAGCGATCTCAGATTCCTGTAAAGCCAACCCACTTAGGGTTTAGGGTTTAGGGTTTAGGGTGTAGGGTTTAGGGTTTAGGGTTTAGGGTTTAGGGTTTACGTTTAGGGTTCTAACATCCACCGTTTAGGGTTTAGAGGGCGTAAGGGTTTCGGGTTTGCGGTTTCAGGCTTGGCGACGATGAACCTGATTTCAAAACAGCTTCCTGAACTGTTCAATGCCGCCAACGCCGCCAACTTTGAAAACCCAACCACCTACTTTTGTGGCCACAAGGCCGCTCGTTGGATTCTTAGCCCTAAACCCTAGACCGTGTAAACCATAAACCGTAACCCACAAAAAAAGGTTCTGGGTTCTAAGACCATAGACGGATCAGTACAAGCCAAAAGGTTGTTCTTGACAAGGAACTTAAGCTAAGTTACCGTACTAGTACGGCTATGTCGCAACCCTTGATCCTAAACCCTACACCCTCAATGTCCCCATGCACGAGGGTTTTGGGTCCCCGTTGACATCATGTTTTATAAGGTCCTAAACCCTAAGTCCTACACCCTCGGCGGTAGACAGGGTTGAGGATTTTTAGGGTTTGGGTTCTGTAAATCACCCTGAATCACAAGGACCTTAAACCCTGCTTGGTCATGGTCACCCAAAAGGTTGGAACCAGTTATGGCTATAACTACTCCGACTTGGAACCTTCTTATCGGTACATGATGATGTGTAGTAGGTTGAGACCTTCATGGTCAGATAAATGAAGTCCTGTAAGTGGGGGCCTTAGGCCTCGCGCGCACAGGACCTGCACCTGCAACACCTAGTCCTGCAAATCCTGCCAACAAATACCCTGCCATCCAAACCGCTCTTCTTATCGTTAAGCCAAGGGACGTCTCAAATCCCGCGCCCGGCATAATTTTCAACTCCCATGTGTCTAAGGGTAGTTACAGGGACCTAAACCCTAGACCCTGAACCCTAAACCCTGAACCCTAAACCCTAAACCCTAGCCCTAAACCCCAAACCCTAAACCCTAAACCTTTGTTAACGGCCTCTGAAATCTGCGCCTCTAAGGTTCTGAAGGGTCTGCAAAGCTTCCAATAAAAAATCAAGTTCATGCGCCGGGACCCTTTTAGCATCCTAAACCCTGTATATATATAAATAAATATATATATATATATATATAAACCTGTCGGGCCCTTTTGGCATCCTAAACGCTATATATATATATATATATAGAACCCTATACACCCACCCTCTAAACCGAATAAACACCCACCGTCTAAACCAAAAAAAGGAAAACAGAACCCTAGAAAGCCCCGATAAACCCTATATATATATATATATAAACAATATGTACATGTATATGTATATACCCTAAGAACCCTATAGAAAGCCCTATGACAAGAACAAGCGCATCCAAGCAAATCTGAACACGGAAAAGCAAGTGCAGCAACCCTAAGAACCGTATTTAAAAACAAAAAAACTACTAACTTTCTGAAAGAACAAAAACTTAAAAACCCTAAACCCTAGACCCTAGACCCTAAACCCTAAACCCTAAACCCCTTTTCAGACCGAGGCTGCGGGTGAAGCCGCTTGAGATCGGCCACCTCCGTGCGCTCTGCCGGCAGTGGACGCGGAACATGCCCGAACTCTTGGAGCAGGCTTCGAAGGGGGGGTTTAGGGTTTAGGGCTTAGGGCTTAGGGTTTAGGGTTTAGGGTTTAGGGTTTAGGGTGGGTCCGGTAGGGCCTGTAGGGTTTGTAGGCTTCGAAGGGTTTGCGGGGTTTGTAGAACTTATAGGGTTTGCAGAGCTTGTAGGGTGTTGTAGGGTTTGTAGGATTTCGGGGGTTTGTAGGTTTTAGGGGTATGGGTTTTAGGCGATTTTTTGGCGGTTTTGGCTTTGTAGGGTTCATAATTAGGGTTCTAGGGTTGCCGAACCCTAAACCGTTTGGGTTTAGGGCTTTAGGAGGCCCCTTATATCCTTTCTGAAGGTTTTTTGGTTCCCTTCTATAATCACCTTTAAACCAAAACAGGTAAGGATTTAAGGTTCCCTTATAATCCCCTTCAAACCAAGCAGGATACCCTGCACCCGTTTCATTCCCAAGTTACTCTGGGGTCTTGGCTGTGCTAAAGCGCTTCATGGTCGGGTTGGTACCAGACTGCGGGCAACTTGCAGGTGAATGTACAGTAGTCATGGTTTAGGGTTTAGGGTTTAGGGTTTCGGGTGGGGCTTACACGGGGGGGGGGGGGGGGGGGGGGGG